CTCCTCCTTTCGGTTTTGCCGAGAGAGCGATGCGTTTGAGCCATTGAGCGATGGGCAGGAAAAACTTGACTTTTTCTCCTGCCATGGGGGGGCGCTCTTTTGGGGAGAAAAAATTCCTTCACAAATGTGTTGATGGCTGGACATTGCATCATCCTAGAAAACTTGGAGGCCAGTGAGGACAAAAATAAAAAGTTATAAGACTTTTAAAAATGTGGATATTTGGGTCCTCTTTGGCGCCCCCTAGAACGTAAACTGTGGGGTGCAGCGTCATGATTTGTACAACTTTGAATGGCCATGGGGTGTAGATTGACCTGAGCAAATTTGAAGCCGATGGGACAAAAGATTTAGGAGGAGTTAGCCACATTCCAATGTGTGCGAATCGGCAAAAAATGCGAAATAGCCCTTTAACCGTACATTGAACAGATACGCTCGCATTGACTTTTTCGTAGATCTTATTGAGATACACGTGATTGTATAATTTTGTGTCATTTTGACAAAGCGTAAAGGCGTGACAGTCAACAATGTGTATTTTCGCCTTAGGGGACAAGAAAAAAATGGACTTTTTTCTCCTGCCATGGGGGGGCGCTCTTTTGGCGAGTAAAAATTCCTTCACAAATGTGTTAATTGCTGGACATTGCATCATCCTAGAGAACTTGGAGGCCAGTGAGGACAAAAATAAAAAGTTATAAGACTTTTAAGAATGTGGATTTTTGGGTTATCTTTGGCGCCCCCTAGAACGTAAACCGTGGGGTGCAGCGTCATGATTTGTACAACTTTGAATGGCCATGGGGTGTAGATTGGCCTGAGCAAATGTGGTGCCTTTGGAACGAAAGCCTTCGGAGGAGTTAGCGAAATTCCAATGTGTGCGGATCGGCAAAAAATGCGAAATAGCCCTTTAACCGTACATTTGACAGATACGCTCGCACTGACTTTTTTGTAGATCTTATTGAGATACATGTGTGTGTCAATTTTTGTGTCAATATGACAAAGCGTAAAGGCGTGACAGTCAATAGTGTGAATTTTCGCCTTAGGAGACAAGAAAAAATGGACTTTTTTCTCCTGCCATGGGGGGCGCTCTTTTGGCGAGTAAAAATTCCTTCACAAATGTGTTGATGGCTGGACATTGCATCATCCTAGAGAACTTGGAGGCCAGTGAGGACAAAAATAAAAAGTTATAAGACTTTTAAGACTGTGGATTTTTGGGTTATCTTTGGCGCCCCCTAGAACCGTAAACCGTGGGGTGCAGCGTCATGATTTGTACAACTTTTAATGGCCATGGGGTGTAGATTGGCCTGAGCAAATGTGGTGCCGGTGGAACGAAAGCCTTCGGAGGAGTTAGCGAAATTCCAATGTGTGCGGATCGGCAAAAAATGCGAAATAACCCTTTAACCGTACATTTGACAGATACGCTCGCACTGACTTTTTTGTAGATCTTATTGAGATACATGTGTGTGTCAATTTTTGTGTCAATATGACAAAGCGTAAAGGCGTGACAGTCAATAGTGTGAATTTTCACCTTAGGGGGCGCTATGGAGCCATTTTGCATTTTATTGTTTGGGCGACTTCAGAATATCGAATTTTTCACCAGGCCCGGTTGTCCTGCCAAATTTCATGAGTTTTCGCCAGTGGGAAGTGGGCCATTTTCCAGTTTAAAGCGGAGGAAAAATAATAATAATAACTAGGGCCCCGTTGGGGCACTGGCGGGCCCGAGCCGTGTCGCGCCGCCCCCAGCGCGACCGCCTACCCCTCCCGATCGCTACACACTCAAGGTCCAAAGATGGTGTGCGCACTTGTCTGTGGTCATTTACCATTATAATGAATGGGAGGCGCAGTTTCTACCAAAACGCTCGCTGCAGACAAACTCCATGTCCTTTTTGAAAAAAGTCTGGACCATGAGTGAGGGCACAAACACAGCTAGTATATATCCAAATGGCAAGGTGCTCCTCCTTTCGGTTTTGCCGAGAGAGCGATGCGTTTGAGCCATTGAGCGATGGGCAGGAAAAACTTGACTTTTTCTCCTGCCATGGGAGGGCGCTCTTTTGAGGACAAAAAATTCCTTCACAAATGTGTTGATGACTGAACATTGCATCATCCTAGAAAACTTGGAGGCCAGTGAGGACAAAAGTAAAGTTATAAGACTTTTAAAAATGTGGATATTTGGGTCCTCTTTGGCGCCCCCTAGAACGTAAACCGTGGGGTGCAGCGTCATGATTTTTACAACTTTGAATGGCCATGGGGTGTAGATTGGCCTGAGCAAATTTGGTGTCAGTGGAACGAAAGCCTTAGGAGGAGTTAGCCACATTCCAATGTGTGCGAATCGGCAAAAAATGCGAAATAGCCCTTTAACCGTACATTTTACAGATACGTGCACATTGACTTTTTCGTAGATCTTATTGAGATACACGTGATTGTCAAATTTTGTGTCAATATGACAAAGCGTACAGGCGTGACACTCAACAATGTGTATTTTCGCCTTAGGGGACAAGAAAAAAATGGACTTTTTTCTCCTGCCATGGGGGGGCGCTCTTTTGGCGAGTAAAAATTCCTTCACAAATGTGTTAATTGCTGGACATTGCATCATCCTAGAGAACTTGGAGGCCAGTGAGGACAAAAATAAAAAGTTATAAGACTTTTAAGAATGTGGATTTTTGGGTTATCTTTGGCGCCCCCTAGAACCTAAACCGTGGGGTGCAGCGTCATGATTTGTACAACTTTTAATGGCCATGGGGTGTAGATTGGCCTGAGCAAATTTGGTGCCGGTGGAACGAAAGCCTTCGGAGGAGTTAGCGAAATTCCAGTGTGTGCGGATCGGCAAAAAATGCGAAATAACCCTTTAACCGTACATTTGACAGATACGCCCACACTGACTTTTTTGTAGATCGTATTGAGATACATGTGTGTGTCAATTTTTGTGTCAATATGACAAAGCGTACAGGCGTGACAGTCAATAGTGTGAATTTCCACCTTAGGGGGCGCTATGGAGCCATTTTGCATTTTATTGTTTGGGCGACTTCAGAATATCGAATTTTTCACCAGGCCCGGTCATCCTGCCAAATGTCATGAGTTTTCGCCAGTGGGAAGTGGGCCATTTTCCCCTTCAAAGGGGAGGAAAAATAAGAAGAAAGAAAGAAAGAAAGAAAGAAAGAAGAAAGAAAAACTCATCAGGAATAATAGGGCTCTACGCCCGGCTGCTCTGCAGCTGGCTCGGGCCCTAATAATAACACTAGGGCCCCGGTGGGGCACTGTCGGGCCCGAGCCGCGTCGTGCCGCCCCCAGCGCGACGCCTCCCCCTCCCGATCGCGTCACACTCAAGGTCCAAAGATGGTGTGCGCACTTGTCTGTGGTCATTTCCCATTATAATGAATGGGAGGCGCAGTTTCTACAAAAACGCTGGCTGCAGACAAACTACATGTCCTATTTGAAAAAAGTCTGGACCATGAGTGAGGGCACAAACACAGCTAGGATATATCCAAATGGCAAGTTGCTCCTCCTTACGGTGTTGACGGGAGAGCGATGCGATTGAGCCATTGAGCGATGGGCAGGGTTAACTTGACTTTTTCTCCTGCCTTGGGGGGGGGTGTGGATTCTTTTAAGAATGTGGATATTTGGGTCATCTTTGGCGCCCCCTAGAACGTAAACCGTTGGGTGCAGCGTCATGATTTTTACAACTTTGAATGGCCATGGGATGTAGATCGGCTTGAGCAAATTTGGTGTCGGTGGGACGAAAGCCTAAGGAGGAGTTAGCGAAATTCCAATGTGTGCAGATCTGCAAAAAATGCAAAATAACCCTCTAACCGTACATTTTACAGATACGCGCGCATTGACTTTTTCGTAGATCTTATTGAGATACACGTGTGTGTCAAATTTTTTGTCAATATGACAAAGCGTACAGGCGTGAATCTCAACAATGTGTATTTTCACCTTAGGGGACAAGAAGAAATGGACTTTTTTCTCCTGCCATGGGGGGGCGCTCTTTTGGGGAGTAAAAATTCCTTCACAAATGTGTTGATGGCTGGACATTGCATCATCCTAGAAAACTTGGAGGCAAGTGAGGACAAAAAAAAAAAGTTATAAAACTTTTAAGAATGTGGATTTTTGGGTTATTTTTGGCGCCCCCTAGAACCTAAACCATGGGGTGCAGCATCATGATTTGTACAACTTTGAATGGCCATGGAGTGTAGATTGGCCTGAGCAAATGTGGTGCCGGTGGAACGAAAGCCTTCGGAGGAGTTAGCGAAATTCCAATGTGTGCGGATCTGCAAAAAATGCGAAATAACCCTTTAACCGTACATTTGACAGATACGCCCGCACTGACTTTTTTGTAGATCTTATTGAGATACATGTGTGTGTCAATTTTTGTGTCAATATGACAAAGCGTACAGGCGTGACAGTCAATAGTGTGAATTTTCACCTTAGGGGGCGCTATGGAGCCATTTTGCATTTTATTGTTTGGGCGACTTCAGAATATCGAATTTTTCACCAGGCCCGGTCGTCCTGCCAAATTTCATGAGTTTTCGCCAGTGGGAAGTGGGCCATTTTCCAGTTTAAAGCGGAGGAAAAATAATAACTAGGGCCCCGTTGGGGCACTGGCGGGCCCGAGCCGTGTCGCGCCGCCCCCAACACGACCGCCTCTCCCTACCGATCGCGTCACACTCAAGGTCCAAAGATGGTGTGCGCACTTGTCTGTGGTCATTTACAATTATAATGAATGGGAGGCGCAGTTTCTACCAAAAGGCTCGCTGCAGACAAACTACATGTCCTATTTGAAAAGGACTGGACCATGAGTGAGGGCACAAACACAGCTAGGATATATCCAAATGGCAAGTTGCTCCTCCTTTCGGTTTTGCCGAGAGAGCGATGTGTTTGAGTCATTGAGTGATGGGCAGGAAAAACTTGACTTTTTCTCCTGCCATGGGGGGGCGCTCTTTTAGGGAGTAAAAATTCCTTCACAAATGTGTTGATGGCTAGACATTGCATCATCCTAGAAAACTTGGAGGCCAGTGAGGACAAAAATAAAAAGTTATAAGACTTTTAAGAATGTGGATTTTTGGGTTATCTTTGGCGCCCCCTAGAACATAAACCGTGGGATGCAGCGTCATGATTTGTACAACTTTTAATGGCCATGGGGTGTAGATTGGCCTGAGCAAATTTGGTGCCGGTGGAACGAAAGCCTTCGGAGGAGTTAGCGAAATTCCAATGTGTGCGGATCGGCAAAAAATGCGAAATAGCCCTTTAACCGTACATTTGACAGATACGCCCGCACTGACTTTTTTGTAGATCTTATTGAGATACACGTGTGTGTCAAATTTCGTGTCATTTTGACAAAGCGTACAGGCGTGACACTCAATCATGTGAATTTTTCACCTTAGGGGGCGCTATGGAGCCATTTTGCATTTGATTTTTTGGGCGACTTCAGAATATCGAATTTTTCACCAGGCCCGGTCGTCCTGCCAAATTTCATGACTTTTCACCAGTGGGAAGTGGGCCATTTTCCAGTTCAAAGGGGCAGAAAAATAATAATAAGACTAGGGCCCCGGTGGGGCACTGTCGGGCCCGAGCCGCGTCGCGCCGCCCCCAGCGCGACCGCCTCCCCCTCCCGATCGCATCACACTCAAGGTCCAAAGATGGTGTGCGCACTTGTCTGTGGTCATTTACAATTATAATGAATGGGAGGCGCAGTTTCTACCAAAACGCTCGCCGCAGACAAACTACATGTCCTATTTGAAAAGGACTGGACCATGAGTGAGGGCACAAACACAGCTAGGATATATCCAAATGGCAAGTTGCCCCTCCCGATCGCATCACACTCAAGGTCCAAAGATGGTGTGCGCACTTGTCTGTGGTCATTTCCCATTATAATGAATGGGAGGCGCAGTTTCTACCAAAACGGTCGCTGCAGACAAACTACATGTCCTATTTGAAAAAAGTCTGGACCATGAGTGAGGGCACAAACACAGCTAGGATATATCCAAATGGCAAGTTGCTCCTCCTTACGGTGTTGCCAGGAGAGCGATGCGATTGAGCCATTGAGCGATGGGCAGGGTTAACTGGACTTTTTCTCCTGCCTTGGGGGGGGGGGGGGGGATGTGGATTCTTTTAAGAATGTGGATATTTGGGTCATCTTTGGCGCCCCCTAGAACGTAAACCATGGGGTGCAGCGGCATGATTTTTACAACTTTGAATGGCCATGGGATGTAGATCGGCTTGAGCAAATTTGGTGTCGGTGGGAAGAAAGCCTTAGGAGGAGTTAGCCACATTCCAATGTGTGCAGATCTGCAAAAAATGCGAAATAGCCCTTTAACCGTACATTTTACAGATACGTGCCCATTGACTTTTTCGTAGATCTTATTGAGATACACGTGTGTGTCAAATTTTGTGTCATTTTGACAAAGCGTATAGGCGTGACAGTCAACAATGTGTTTTTTCACCTTAGGGGACAAGAAAAAATGGACTTTTTTCTCCTGCCATGGGGGGGCGCTCTTTTCGGGAGTAAAAATTCCTTTACAAATGTGTTGATGGCTGGACATTGCATCATCCTAGAAAACTTGGAGGCCAGTGAGGACAAAAATAAAAAGTTATAAGACTATTAAGAATGTGGATTTTTGGGTTATCTTTGGCGCCCCCTAGAACCTAAACCGTGGAGTGCAACGTCATGATTTGTACAACTTTTAATGGCCATGGGGTGTAGATTGGCCTGAGCAAATTTGGTGGCGGTGGAACTAAAGCCTTCGGAGGAGTTAGTGAAATTCCAATGTGTGCGGATCGGGAAAAAATGCGAAATAACCCTTTAACCGTACATTTTACAGATACGTGCCCATTGACTTTTTCGTAGATCTTATTGAGATACACGTGATTGTCAAATTTTGTGTCAATATGACAAAGCGTATAGGCGTGACACTCAACAATGTGTATTTTCACCTTAGGGGACAAGAAAAAATGGACTTTTTTCTCCTGCCATGTGGGGGCGCTCTTTTGGGGAGTAAAAATTCCTTCACAAATGTGTTGATGGCTGGACATTGCATCATCCTAGAGAACTTGGAGGCCAGTGAGGACAAAAATAAAAAGTTATAAGACTTTTAAGACTGTGGATTTTTGGGTTATCTTTGGCGCCCCCTAGAACGTAAACTGTGGGGTGCAGCGTCATGATTTGTACAACTTTTAATGGCCATGGGGTGTAGATTGGCTTGAGCAAATGTGGTGCCGGTGGAACGAATGCCTTCGGAGGAGTTAGCGAAATTCCAATGTGTGCAGATCGGCAAAAAATGCGAAATAACCCTCTAACCGTACATTTCACAGATGCGCCCGCGCTGACTTTTTCGTAGACCGTATTGAGATACACGTGTGTGTCAATTTTTGTGTCAATATGACAAAGCGTACAGGCGTGACAGTCAATAGTGTGAATTTTCGCCTTAGGGGGCGCTATGGAGCCATTTTGCATTTTATTGTTTGGGCGACTTCAGAATATCGAATTTTTCACCAGGCCCGGTCGTCCTGCCAAATTTCATGAGTTTTCGCCAGTGGGAAGTGGGCCATTTTCCAGTTTAAAGCGGAGGAAAAATAATAACTAGGGCCCCGTTGGGGCACTGGCGGGCCCGAGCTGCGTCGCGCCGCCCCCAGCGCGACCGCCTCCCCGTCCCATTCGTGCCCTCTGGCCATCGCCCTCTCTGGTGACGCCCATCACTGCAAAGACCCTTTTCCTTCATCGGTGTTTGCTGTTCTTCCTGCCATTGCGTGTTGCTTTCACTTACACTTGCCACAGCCAGCCTCGTGAGTGCCTGGCCTGGTTTGACCTTTGCTCACCATGATTGTGTGACCTTGGTATCAGCTACTTGGGAAGTTCAACCGTTGTGGCAAAGCTTTGTTTGCGTGCTGTGCTCAACCACCTATTTTCTATGGATGTGTAAGTAAACCACTTTCTTTCTTACACAATGACACACTCATACTTATCACTCACTGCTACTGATGTGCTCTGTTAGTATGCATGCAGGAAACCTGATGAATGAAGAAATGCCCAGACTAGCCAACATCTCAATAAATTATGAGGTATGACATCACTTGAATGGTTTCCTTGGACTATGCTTCCATTATTCTAATTCTGTAATAAAAAGAAATTTTGTCCAAAAGGACTGTTGTTGTTTTTTCTTCTAATAATTAACATATTTAACATAATTAACATTCAATATGCGCTCATTACACACGTGCACACTCTTTGATGATCTGAGAAGCAGAGCTTAAAGGACAGTAGGAGTAGCTGAACAAAGTGTATTTGTAGGAAAGCCGTAAGAGCTATTGAAACGCCGTTTTCGCGGGTTGAAAGGTTAGGGTGTCCACCAAAGGTCAGAGGTCAAATAACATTTGTATCTCAAACTGTGACGTCAAAGTCAAGGTCCAAAGATGGTGTGCGCACCTGTCTTTGGTCATTTCCCATTATAATGAATGGGAGGCACAGTTTCTACCAAAACGCTCGCTGCAGACAAACTACATGTCCTATTTGAAAAAACTCTGGACCATGAGTGAGGGCACAAACACAGCTAGGACATATCCAAATGGCAAGTTGCTCCTCCTTTTGGTTTTAGCGGGAGAGCAATGCGTTTGAGCCATTAAGCGATGGGCTGGAAAAACTTGACTTTTTCTCCTGCCATGGGGGGGGGGGGGGGGGGGCGCTCTTTTGGGGAGAAAAAATTCCTCCACAGATGTGTTGATGGCTGCACATTGCATCATCCTAGAAAACTTGGAGGCCAGTGAGGACAAAAATAAAAAGTTATAAGACTTTTAAAAATGTGGATATTTGGGTCATCTTTGGCGCCCCCTAGAACATAAACCGTGGGGTGCAGCGTCATGATTTTTACAACTTTGAATGGCCATGGGATGTAGATTGGCCTGAGCAAATTTGGTGTCGGTGGGACGAAAGCCTTAGGAGGAGTTAGCCACATTCCAATGTGTGCGAATCGGCAAAAAATGCGAAATAGCCCTTTAACCGTACATTTTACAGATACGTGCCCATTGACTTTTTCGTAGATCTTATTGAGATACACGTGTGTGTCAAATTTTGTGTCATTTTGACAAAGCGTATAGGCGTGACAGTCAACAATGTGTTTTTTCACCTTAGGGGACAAGAAAAAATGGACTTTTTTCTCCTGCCATGGGGGGGGCGCTCTTTTCGGGAGTAAAAATTCCTTTACAAATGTGTTGATGGCTGGACATTGCATCATCCTAGAAAACTTAGAGGCCAGTGAGGACAAAACTAAAAAGTTATAAGACTATTAAGAATGTGGATTTTTGGGTTATCTTTGGCGCCCCCTAGAACCTAAACCGTGGAGGGCAGCGTCATGATTTGTACAACTTTTAATGGCCATGGGGTGTAGATTGGCCTGAGCAAATTTGGTGCCGGTAGAAAGATAGCCTTCGGAGGAGTTAGCGAAATTCCAATGTGTGCGAATCGGCAAAAAATGCAAAATAGCCCTTTAACCGTACATTTGACAGATATGTGCCCTTTGACTTTTTCGTAGATCTTATTGAGATACACGTTATTGTCAAATTTTGTGTCAATATGACAAAGGGTACAGGGGTGACACTCAAAAATGTGTATTTTCACCTTACGGGACAAGAAAAAATGGACTTTTTTCTCCTGCCATGGGGGGGCGCTCTTTTGGGGAGTAAAAATTTGTTCACAGATGTGTTGATGGCTGGACATTGCATCATCCTAGAAAACTTGGAGGCCAGTTTGGAGAAAAATAAAAAGTTATAAGACTTTTAACACTTTGGATTTTTGGGTTATCTTTGGCGCCCCCTAGAACCTAAACCGTGGGGTGCAGCAAGATGATTTGTACAACTTTTAATGGCCATGGGGGGTAGATTGGCCTGCGCAAATGTGGTGCCGGTGGAACGAAAGCCTTCGGAGGAGTTAGCGAAATTCCAATGTGTGCAGATCTGCAAAAAATGCGAAATAACCCTTTAACCGTACATTTGACAGATACGCCCGCACTGACTTTTTTGTAGATCTTATTGAGATACATGTGTGTGTCAATTTTTGTGTCATTTTGACAAAGCGTACAGCCCGCATGTGAATTTTCACCTTAGGGGGCGCTATGGAGCCATTTTGCATTGTATTGTTTGGGCGACTTCAGAATATCGAATTTTTCACCAGGCCCGGTCTTCCTGCCAAATTTCCTGAGTTTTCGCCAGTGGGAAGTGGGCCATTTTCCAGTTTAAAGCGGAGGAAAAATAACGAAAGAAGAATCCATCAGGAACAAGAGGGCTCTCGCAGCTGCTTAGCAGCTACGCTCGGGCCCTAATAATAACAAAAGAAGAATCCATCAGGAACAAGAGGGCTCTCGCAGCTGCTTAGCAGCTACGCTCGGGCCCTAAAGAAGAAGAAGAAGAAGAAGAAGAAAGAAGAATCCATCAGGAATAATAGGGCTCTCGCAGCTGCTTAGCAGCTACGCTCGGGCCCTAATAATAATAATAATAACTAGGACCCCGTTGGGGCACTGGCGGGCCCGAGCTGTGTCGCGCCCCCCCCCCAACGCGCTGCCTCCCCGTCCCATTTGTGTCCTCTGGCCATCGCCCTCTCTGGTAACGCCCATCACTGCAAAGACCCTTTTCCTTCATCGGCGTTTGCTGTTCTTCCTGCCAGTGCGTGTTGCTTTCACTTACACTTGCCACAGCCAGCCTCGTGAGTGCCTAGCCTATTGGATATCACTGTCATCTACACAGGACAGTCATAACCTTTCTATTAATACTTGTTTTTTAATTTCACATTAATTTCAATATTGTATAAATGACTGGAAAAAACTTGAGCCCCTGCCCCTGTATAATCATGTGCATGTCTCTGTTCTAGCTCCAAGGTGAATCTTCACTGCTCATGTTCTCCTCAGAAGCAGTCACCTCACTCCCCTCAGGTTACTGTACACATGCACCAACTGCCTGCTTCAGGTTTGGATGGAGCTTCATGGTTGTCTTTTGGAGAAATGACCAGTCAAGTTGTGTTTGAAATTTGATTTTTTTCAGGGGCAAAAGGAGCCTCTGCATTCTTGTCAAATATGTAAATAGCATGTTTTTGCAGGTGCTAAAAACCAGACTCTGAGTGTGTGTGTGTGCGTGTGTGTGTGTGTGTGTCTGTGTGTGTGTGTGTGTGTGTGTGTGTGCGTTCAAGTCACATGACATATTTAACCGGATGTAGCTGCAAGACGGAGCCTTGTTGACTCTGTTTCAACTTATCTCAAAAGTGAGGACCTCAACCTATATACCAGTTTTTAAATTGTGTTGATAGGCCAAATAAAACCAGAGTTATGATAAATTATGCCCGCGATACTTGTTTTCTGCTTATTTTGATCACGTTCGGCGCTCGATCGCGCTGTATGCGACAGGAAAACATAGCATGCAGACATTAGCGACAGGTCTTACAGGCGGAAAAGGCTTGCCAAAGGAAAAAAAAAACACACCACAACATCTCTCCTATTGGTGGAAAACTTCACCACAACAACCAATCCAAAATTATATGGTGACTGATTGACAAGGGGCGGGCGCTTACGTTCTTCCTGCAATATGAGAAGGGAGGAAGGGACTCTCAGCAGGGATGCAGTCTGGGACACGTAGTTGCAAACCTAGCGACTTTGTTGTTAGATTCAATGACTTTTCAGACCCCCTAACGACTTTTTTTTTAGAAAGAAAGTGACTTTTATCGACTTCTTCTGGAGTTTAGAGACTCTGACATGAAGCAGGCTTTCCTTACTGAGGAGTTAGCAACGCTGCTAAGGGTGCAGAGCCACACATGCGCTCCGAGCTCTGCATGGGAGACTGAAGCTGACAGAGCTGCAGCAGTTAGCAGGTTTCACCCTCAGAGACCACCAGGGGTTCATGTTGAGGCATTTTCAGTTTTTGGTTTTTTTTTGCCATAGACTGTCAGCACAATCTGCAGTTACACTAACAAAAATGCTGCAAAAAACAAAGAATTATGGAAAAATTACACATGGACTGACATAGAGGAGGATCTACACAAGTTTTTTACATCATGTTTTACATCATGCATCATTTACATCATGTTTTTTTGTAGTGGCATAAATAAAAAGTGACATTTGTGAGACTATACAGTGTTTTGTAAATAATTTTACAAAGAACGCCTGGGCCATTGCCTGCATTTTGATGTAAATAGAGGTAAATAACTATGTTCTTTGTTAAAAATTTGCATATGTTTTGAAGTTTACAATTTTTATTTGAAGTTTAAGTTTTAAAAACAGTTCATCACACATATTTGTGTTTTAATTTCACATTAATTTCCATATTGTATAAATGACTGGAAAAAACTTGAGCCCCTGCCCCTGTATAATCATGTGCACGTCCCTGTTCTAGCTCCAAGGTGAATCTTCACTGCTCATGTTCTCCTCAGAAATAGTCACCTCACTCCCCTCAGGTTACTGTACACATGCACCAACTATCTGCTTCAGGTTTGGATGGAGCTTCATGGTTGTCTTTTGGAGAAATGAACAGTCAAGTTGTGTTTGAAATCTGATTTTTTTCAGGGGCAAAAGGAAGCCTCTGCATTCTTGTCAAATATGTAAACAGCATGTTTTTGCAGGTGCTAAAAAACAGACTCTGAGTGTGTGTGTGTGTGTGTGTGTGTGTGTGTGTGTGTGTGTGTGTGTGTGTGTGTGTATGTGTGTGTATCCTGCAGTACTCTGTACTCCTGCAGTGGCCAAAAAGACTTTTAAGAATGTGGATTTTTGGGTCATCTTTGGCGCCCCCTAGAACTGCAGTACTCTGTACTCCTGCAGTGGCCAAAATGACTTTTAAGAATGTGGATTTTTGGGTCATCTTTGGTGCCCCCTAGAACGTAAACCGTGGGGTGCAGCGTCATGATTTTTACAACTTTGAATGGCCATGGGATGTAGATCGGCTTGAGCAAATTTGGTGCCGATGGGACGAAAGCCTTAGGAGGAGATAGCCACATTCCAATGTGTGCGAATCGGCAAAAAATGCGAAATAGCCCTTTAACCGTACATTATACAGATACGCGCTTTTTGACTTTTTCGTAGATCTAATTGAGATACACATGATTGTCAATTTTTGTGTCAATATGACAAAGCGTTTAGGCGTGACACTCAACAATGTGTATTTTCATGTAAGGGGACAAGAAAAAATTGACTTTTTTCTCCTGCCATGGGGGGGCGCTCTTTTGGGGAGTAAAAATTCCTTCACAAATGTGTTGATGGCTGGACATTGCATCATCCTAGAAAACTTGGAGGGCAGTGAGGACAAAAATAAAAAGTTATAAGACTTTTAAGAATGTGGATTTTGGGTTATCTTTGGCGCCCCCTAGAACGTTATAAGACTTGTGTCATTTGCGTCATGATTTGTACAACTTTTAATGGCCATGGGGGGTAGATTGGCCTGCGCAAATGTGGTGCCGGTCGAACGAAAGCCTTCGGAGGAGTTAGCGAAATTCCAATGTGTGCAGATCTGCAAAAAATGCAAAATAACCCATTAACCGTACATTTGACAGATACGCCCGCACTGACTTTTTTGTAGATCTTATTGAGATACATGTGTGTGTCAATTTTTGTGTCAATATGACAAAGCGTACAGCCGTCATGTGAATTTTCACCTTAGGGGGCGCTATGGAGCCATTTTGCATTTTATTGTTTAGGCGACTTCAGAATATCGAATTTTTCACCAGGCCCGGTCGTCCTGCCAAATTTCCTGAGTTTTCGCCAGTGGGAAGTGGGCCATTTTCCAGTTTAAAGCGGAGGAAAAATAATAACTAGGGCCCCGGTGGGGCACTGTCCCGATCGCGTCACACTCAAGGTCCAAAGATGGTGTGCGCACTTGTCTGTGGTCATTTCCCATTATAATGAATGGGAGGCGCAGTTTCTACCAAAACACTCGCTGCAGACAAACTACATGTCCTATTTGAAAAAAGTCTGGACCATGAGTGAGGGCACAAACACAGCTAGGATATATCCAAACGGCAAGTTGCTCCTCATTACGGTGTTGCCGGGAGAGCGATGCGATTGAGCCATTGAGTGATGGGCAGGAAAAACTTGACTGTTTCTCCTGCCATGGGGGGTGGGGGATGGGGGGGGGATGTGGATTCTTTTAAGAATTTGGATATTTGGGTCATCTTTGGCGCCCCCTAGAACGTAAACCGTGGGGTGCAGCGTCATGATTTTTACAACTTTGAATGGCCATGGGGTGTAGATTGGCCTGAGCAAATTTGGTGTCAGTGGGACGAAAGCCTTAGGAGGAGTTAGCCACATTCCAATGTGTGCGAATCGGCAAAAAATGCAAAATAGCCCTTAAACCGTACATTTGACAGATACGCGCGCATTGACTTTTTTGTAGATCTTATTGAGATACATATGTGTGTCAATTTTTGTGTCAATATGATAAAGCGTACAGGCGTGACAGTCAATAGTGTGAATTTCCACCTTAGGGGACAAGAAAAAATTGACTTTTTTCTCCTGCCATGGGGGGGGGCTCTTTTGGGGAGTAAAAATTCCTTCACAAATGTGTTGATGGCTGGACATTGCATCATCCTAGAAAACTTGGAGGCCAGTGAGGACAAAAATAAAAAGTTATAAGACTTTTAAATATGTGGATTTTAGGGTTATCTTTGGCGCCCCCTAGAACCTAAACCGTGGGGTGCAGCGTCATGATTTGAATAACTTTTAATGGCCATGGGGTGTAGATTGGCCTGAGCAAATGTGGTGCCGGTGGAACGAAAGCCTTCGGAGGAGTTAGCGAAATTCCAATGTGTGCGGATCGGCAAAAAATGCGGAATAACCCTTTAACCGTACATTTGACAGATACGCACGCATTGACTTTTTCGTAGATCTTATTGAGATACATGTGTGTGTCAATTTTTGTATCATTTTGACAAAGCGTACAGGTGTTACACTCAACAATGTGTATTTTCACCTTAGGGGACAAGAAAAAATGGACTTTTTTCTCCTGCCATGGGGGGGCGCTCTTTTGGGGAGTAAAAATTCCTTCACAAATGTGTTGATGGCTGGACATTGCATCATCCTAGAAAACTTGGAGGCCAGTGAGGGCAAAAATAAAAAGTTATAAGACTTTTAAATATGTGGATCTTAGGGTTTTCTTTGGCGCCCCCTAGAACCTAAACCGTGGGGTGCAGCGTCATGATTTGAATAACTTTTAATGGCCATGGGGTGTAGATTGGCCTGAGCAAATGTGGTGCCGGTGGAACGAAAGCCTTCAGAGGAGTTAGCGAAATTCCAATGTGTGCGGATCGGCAAAAAATGCGAAATAACCCTTTAACCGTACATTTGACAGATACGCCCGCACTGACTTTTTTGTAGATCTTATTGAGATACATGTGTGTGTCAATTTTTGTGTCATTTTGACAAAGCGTACACGCGTGACAGTCAATAGTGTGAATTTTCACCTTAGGGGGCGCTATGGAGCCATTTTGCATTTTCTTGTTTGGGCGACTTCGGAATATCAAATTTTTCACCAGGCCCGGTCGTCCTGCCAAATTTCATGAGTTTTCGCCAGTGGGAAGTGGGCCATTTTCCAGTTCAAAGGGGAGGAAAAATAATAATAACTAGGGCCCCGTTGGGACACTGGCGGGCCCGAGCTGTGTCGCGCCGCCCCCAGCGCGACCGCCTACCCCTCCCGATCCCGTCACACTCAAGGTCCAAAGATGGTGTGCGCACTTGTCTGTGGTCATTTACCATTATAATGAATGGGAGGCGCAGTTTCTACCAAAACGCTCGTTGCAGACAAACTCCATGTCCTTTTTGAAAAAAGTCTGGACCATGAGTGAGGGCACAAACACAGCTAGTATATATCCAAATGGCAAGGTGCTCCTCCTTTCGGTTTTGCCGAGAGAGCGATGCGTTTGAGCCATTGAGCGATGGGCAGGAAAAACTTGACTTTTTCTCCTGCCATGGGAGGGCGCTCTTTTGGGGAGAAAAAATTCCTTCACAAATGTGTTGATGACTGAACATTGCATCATCCTAGAAAACTTGGAGGCCAGTGAGGACAAAAATAAAGTTATAAGACTTTTAAAAATGTGGATATTTGGGTCCTCTTTGGCGCCCCCTAGAACGTAAACCGTGGGGTGCAGCGTCATGATTTTTACAACTTTGAATGGCCATGGGGTGTAGATTGGCCTGAGCAAATTTGGTGTCAGTGGAACGAAAGCCTTAGGAGGAGTTACCATCATTCCAATGTGTGCGAATCGGCAAAAAATGCGAAATAGCCCTTTAACCGTACATTTTACAGATACGTGCACATTGACTTTTTCGTAGATCTTATTGAGATACACGTGATTGTCAAATTTTGTGTCAATATGAAAAAGCGTACAGGCGTGACACTCAACAATGTGTATTTTCGCCTTAGGGGACAAGAAAAAAATGGACTTTTTTCTCCTGCCATGGGGGGGCGCTCTTTTGGGGAGTAAAAATTCCTTCACAAATGTGTTAATTGCTGGACATTGCATCATCCTAGAGAACTTGGAGGCCAGTGAGGACAAAAATAAAAAGTTATAAGACTTTTAAGAATGTGGATTTTTGGGTTATCTTTGGCGCCCCCTAGAACCTAAACCGTGGGGTGCAGCGTCATGATTTGTACAACTTTTAATGGCCATGGGGTGTAGATTGGCCTGAGCAAATTTGGTGCCGGTGGAACGAAAGCCTTCGGAGGAGTTAGCGAAATTCCAATGTGTGCGGATCGGCAAAAAATGCGAAATAACCCTTTAACCGTACATTTGACAGATACGCCCACACTGACTTTTTTGTAGATCGTATTGAGATACATGTGTGTGTCAATTTTTGTGTCAATATGACAAAGCGTACAGGCGTGACAGTCAATAGTGTGAATTTCCACCTTAGGGGGCGCTATGGAGCCATTTTGCATTTTATTGTTTGGGCGACTTCAGAATATCGAATTTTTCACCAGGCCCGGTCATCCTGCCAAATGTCATGAGTTTTCGCCAGTGGGAAGTGGGCCATTTTCCCCTTCAAAGGGGAGGAAAAATAAGAAGAAAGAAAGAAAGAAAGAAAGAAAGAAGAAAGAAAAACTCATCAGGAATAATAGGGCTCTACGCCCGGCTGCTCTGCAGCTGGCTCGGGCCCTAACGAAAGAAGGAAACATGCAGGAACAAGAGGGCTCTCGCAGCTGCTTAGCAGCTACGCTCGGGCCCTAATAATAACAAGAGGGCTCTCGCACCTGCTTAGCAGCTACGCTCGGGCCCTAACAAAAGAAGAATCCATCAGGAACAAGAGGGCTCTCGCAGCTGCTTAGCAGCTACGCTCGGGCCCTAACTAGGACCCCGTTGGGGCACTGGCGGGCCCGAGCCGTGTCGCGTCCCCCCCCCCCCCCCAACGTGCTGCCTTCCCGTCCCATTTGTGTCCTCTGGCCATCGCCCTCTCTGGTAACGCCCATCACTGCAAAGACCCTTTTCCTTCATCGGCGTTTGCTGTTCTTCCTGCCAGTGCGTGTTGCTTTCACTTACACTTGCCACAGCCAGCCTCGTGAGTGCCTAGCCTATTGGATATCACTGTCACCTACACAGGACAGTCATTACCTTTCTATTAATACTTTGTGTTTTAATTTCACATTAATTTCCCTATTGTATAAACGACTGGAAAAAACTTGAGCCCCTGCCCCTGTATAATCATGTGCATGTCTCTGTTCTAGCTCCAAGGTGAATCTTCACTGCTCATGTTCTCCTCAGAAGCACTCACCTCACTCCCCTCAGGTTACTGTACACATGCACCAACTGCCTGCTTCAGGTTTGGATGGAGCTTCATGGTTGTCTTTTGGAGAAATGAGCAGTCAAGTTGTGTTTGAAATTTGATTTTTTTCAGGGGCAAAAGGAGCCTCTGCATTCTTGTCAAATATGTAAATAGCATGTTTTTGCAGGTGCTAAAAACCAGACTCTGAGTGTGTGTGTGTGCGTGTGTGTGTGTGTGTGTCTGTGTGTGCGTTCAAGTCACATGACATATTTAACCGGATGTAGCTGCAAGACGGAGCCTCGTTGACTCTCCGTTTCAACTTATCTCAAAAGTGAGGACCTCAACCTATATACCAGTTTTTAAATTGTGTTGATAGGCCAAATAAAACCAGAGTTATGATAAATTATGTCCGCGATACTTTTTTTCTGCTTATTTTGATCACGTTCGGCGCTCGATCGCGCTGTATGAGACAGGAAAACATAGCATGCAGACATTAGCGACAGGTCTTACAGGCGGAAAAGGCTTGCCAAAAGAAAAAAAAAACACACCACAACATCTCTCCTATTGGTGGAAAACTTCACCACAACAACCAATCCAAAATTATATGGTGACTGATTGACAAGGGGCGGGCGCTTACGTTCTTCCTGCAACATGAGAAGGGAGGGAGGGACTCTCAGCAGGGATGCAGTCTGGGACACGTAGTTGCAAACCTAGCGACTTTGTTGTTAGATTCAATGACTTTTCAGACCCCCTAACGACTTTTTTTTAGAAAGAAAGGGACTTTTATCGACTTCTTCTGGAGTTTAGAGACTCTGACATGAAGCAGGCTTTCCTTACTGAGGAGTTAGCAATGCTGCTAAGGGTGCAGAGCCACACATGCGCTCCGAGCTCTGCATGGGAGACTGAAGCTGACAGAGCTGCAGCAGTTAGCAGGTTTCACCCTCAGAGACCACCAGGGGTTCATGTTGAGGCATTTTAATTTTTTTTTTTTGTGCCATAGACACTGTCAGCACAATCTGCAGTTACACTAACAAAAATGCTGCAAAAAACAAAGAATTATGGAAAAATTACACATGGACTGACATAGTTTTTTAATTTCACAATAATTTCCATATTGTATAAACGACTGGAAAAAACTTGAGCCCCTGCCCCTGTATAATCATGTGCACGTCCCTGTTCTCGCTCCAAGGTGAATCTTCACTGCTCATGTTCTCCTCAGAAGCAGTCACCTCACTCCCCTCAGGTTACTGTACACATGCACCAACTGCTTGCTTCAGGTTTGGATGGAGCTTCATGGTTGTCTTTTGGAGAAATGAGCAGTCAAGTTGTGTTTGAAATTTCATTTTTTTCAGGGGCAAAAGGAAGCCTCTGCATTGTTTTCAAATATGTAAATAGCATGTTTTTGCAGGTGCTAAAAAAAAGACGCTGTGTGTGTGTGTGCGTGTGCGTGTGTGTGTGTGTGTGTGTGTGTGTGTGTGTGTGTGTGTGTGTGTGTGTGTGTGTGTGTGTGTGTATCCTGCAGTACTCTGTACTCCTGCAGTGGCCAAAACGACTTTTAAGAATGTGGATTTTTGGGTCATCTTTGGCGCCCCCTAGAACGTAAACCATGGGGTGCAGCGGCATGATTTTTACAACTTTTAATGGCCATGGGGTGTAGATTGGCATGAGCAAATTTGGTGTCAGTGGGACGAAAGCCTTAGGAGGAGTTAGCCACATTCCAATGTGTGCGAATGGGCAAAAAATGCAAAATAGCCCTTTAACCGTACATTTTACAGATACGTGCCCATTGACTTATTCGTAGATCTTATTGAGATACACGTGTGTGTCAAATTTTTTGTCAATATGACAAAGCGTACAGGCGTGAATCTCAACAATGTGTATTTTCACCTTAGGGGACAAGAAAAAATTGACTTTTTTGTCCTGCCATGGGGGGGCGCTCTTTTGGGGAGTCAAAATTCCTTCACAAATGTGTTGATGGCTGGACATTGCATCATCCTAGAAAACTTGGAGGCCAGTGAGGACAAAAATAAAAAGTTATAAAACTTTTAAGAATGTGGATTTTTGGGTTATTTTTGGCGCCCTCTAGAACCTAAACCATGGGGTGCAGCATCATGATTTGTACAACTTTGAATGGCCATGGAGTGAAGATTGGCCTGAGCAAATGTGGTGCCGGTGGAACGAAAGCCTTCGGAGGAGTTAGCGAAATTCCAATGTGTACGGATCGCCAAAAAATGCGAAATAGCCCTTTTACCGTACATTTGACAGATACGCCCGCATTGACTTTTTTGTAGATCTTATTGAGATAGACGTGTGTGTCAATTTTTGTGTCAATATGACAAAGCGTACAGGTGTGACACTCAATAGTGTGAATTTTCACCTTAGGGGGCGCTATGGAGCCATTTTGCATTTTATTGTTTGGGCAACTTCAGAATATCGAATTTTTCACCAGGCCCGGTCGTCCTGCCAAATTTCATGAGTTTTCGCCAGTGGGAAGTGGGCCATTTTCCCCTTCAAAGGGGAGGAAAAATAAGAAGAAAGAAAATGAAAGAAGAAAGAAAAACCTATACAGGAATAATAGGGCTCTACGCCCGGCTGCTCTGCAGCTGGCTCGGGCCCTAAAAACAAAGAAAAACCTATACAGGAACAACAGGGCTCTCGCAGCTGCTTAGCAGCTACGCTCGGGCCCTAACTAGGGCCCCGTTGGGGCACTGGCGGGCCCGAGCCGTGTCGCGCCGCCCCCAGCGCGACCGCCTACCCCTCCCGATCGCGTCACACTCAAGGTCCAAAGATGGTGTGCGCACTTGTCTGTGGTCATTTACCATTATAATGAATGGGAGGCGCTGTTTCTACCAAAACGCTCGCTGCAGACAAACTCCATGTCCTTTTTGAAAAAAGTCTGGACCATGAGTGAGGGCACAAACACAGCTAGTATATATCCAAATGGCAAGTTGCTCCTCCTTTCGGTTTTGCCGAGAGAGCGATGCGTTTGAGCCATTGAGCGATGGGCAGGAAAAACTTGACTTTTTCTCCTGCCATGGGGGGGCGCTCTTTTGGGGAGAAAAAATTCCTTCACAAATGTGTTGATGGCTGGACATTGCATCATCCTAGAAAACTTGGAGGCCAGTGAGGACAAAAATAAAAAGTTATAAGACTTTTAAAAATGTGGATATTTGGGTCCTCTTTGGCGCCCCCTAGAACGTAAACCGTGGGGTGCAGCGTCATGATTTGTACAACTTTTAATGGCCATGGGGTGTAGATTGACCTGAGCAAATTTGAAGCCGATGGGACAAAAGCTTCAGGAGGAGTTAGCCACATTCCAATGTGTGCGAATCGGCAAAAAATGCGAAATAGCCCTTTAACCGTACATTGAACAGATACGCTCGCATTGACTTTTTCGTAGATCTTATTGAGATACATGTGTGTGTCAAATTTTGTGTCATTTTGACAAAGCGTAAAGGTGTGACAGTCAACAATGTGTATTTTCGCCTTAGGAGACAAGAAAAAATGGACTTTTTTCTCCTGCCATGGGCGCTCTTTTGGCGAGTAAAAATTCCTTCACAAATGTGTTGATGGCTGGACATTGCATCATCCTAGAGAACTTGGAGGCCAGTGAGGACAAAAATAAAAAGTTAAGACTTTTAAGACTGTGGATTTTTGGGTTATATTTGGCGCCCCCTAGAATGTAAACCGTGGGGTGCAGCATCATGATTTGTACAACTTTGAATGGCCATGGGGTGTAGATTGGCCTGAGCAAATGTGGTGCCAGTGGAACGAAAGCCTTCGGAGGAGTTAGCGAAATTCCAATGTGTGCGGATCGGCAAAAAATGCGAAATAACCCTTTAACCGTACATTTGACAGATACGCCCGCACTGACTTTTTTGTAGATCTTATTGAGATACATGTGTGTGTCAATTTTTGTGTCATTTTGACAAAGCGTACAGGCGTGACAGTCAATAGTGTGAATTTTCACCTTAGGGGGCGCTATGGAGCCATTTTGCATTTTATTGTTTGGGTGACTTCAGAATATCAATTTTTTCACCAGGCCCGGTCGTCCTGCCAAATTTCATGAGTTTTCGCCAGTGGGAAGTGGGCCATTTTCCAGTTCAAAGGGGAGGAAAAATAAGAAGAAAGAAAGAAAGAAAGAAGAAAGAAAAACCTATACAGAAATAATAGGGCTCTACGCCCGGCTGCTCTGCAGCTGGCCCGGGCCCTAACTAGGGCCCCGTTGGGGCACTGGCGGGCCTGAGCCGTGTCGCGCCACCCCCAGCGCGACCGCCTACCCCTCCCGATCGCGTCACACTCAAGGTCCAAAGATGGTGTGCGCACTTGTCTGTGGTCATTTACCATTATAATGAATGGGAGGCGCAGTTTCTACCAAAACGCTTGCTGCAGACAAACTCCATGTCCTTTTTGAAAAAAGTCTGGACCATGAGTGAGGGCACAAACACAGCTAGTATATATCCAAATGGCAAGTTGCTCCTCCTTTCGGTTTTGCCGAGAGAGCGATGCGTTTGAGCCATTGAGCGATGGGCAGGAAAAACTTGACTTTTTCTCCTGCCATGGGGGGGCGCTCTTTTGGCGAGTAAAAATTCCTTCACAAATGTGTTGATGGCTGGACATTGCATCATCCTAGAGAACTTGGAGGCCAGTGAGGACAAAAATAAAAAGTTATAAGACTTTTAAGACTGTGGATTTTTGGGTTATCTTTGGCGCCCCCTAGAACGTAAACCGTGGGGTGCAGCGTCATGATTTGTACAACTTTTAATGGCCATGGGGTGTAGATTGGCCTGAGCAAATGTGGTGCCAGTGGAACGAAAGCCTTCGGAGGAGTTAGCCACATTCCAATGTGTGCGGATCGGCAAAAAATGCGAAATAACCCTTTAACCGTACATTTGACAGATACGCCCGCACTGACTTTTTTGTAGATCTTATTGAGATACATGTGTGTGTCAAATTTTGTGTCATTTTGACAAAGCGTAAAGGCGTGACAGTCAACAATGTGTATTTTCGCCTTAGGAGACAAGAAAAAATGAACTTTTTTCTCCTGCCATGGGGGGGCGCTCTTTTGGCGAGTAAAAATTCCTTCACAAATGTGTTGATGGCTGGACATTGCATCATCCTAGAGAACTTGGAGGCCAGTGAGGACAAAAATAAAAAGTTATAAGACTTTTAAGACTGTGGATATTTGGGTTATCTTTGGCGCCCCCTAGAACGTAAACCGTGGGGTGCAGCATCATGATTTGTACAACTTTTAATGGCCATGGGGTGTAGATTGACCTGAGCAAATTTGAAGCCGATGGGACAAAAGCTTCAGGAGGAGTTAGCCACATTCCAATGTGTGCGAATCGGCAAAAAATGCGAAATAGCCCTTTAACCGTACATTGAACAGATACGCTCGCATTGACTTTTTCGTAGATCTTATTGAGATACATGTGTGTGTCAAATTTTGTGTCATTTTGACAAAGCGTAAAGGTGTGACAGTCAACAATGTGTATTTTCGCCTTAGGAGACAAGAAAAAATGGACTTTTTTCTCCTGCCATGGGGGGGGGGCGCTCTTTTGGCGAGTAAAAATTCCTTCACAAATGTGTTGATGGCTGGACATTGCATCATCCTAGAGAACTTGGAGGCCAGTGAGGACAAAAATAAAAAGTTAAGACTTTTAAGACTGTGGATTTTTGGGTTATATTTGGCGCCCCCTAGAATGTAAACCGTGGGGTGCAGCATCATGATTTGTACAACTTTGAATGGCCATGGGGTGTAGATTGGCCTGAGCAAATGTGGTGCCAGTGGAACGAAAGCCTTCGGAGGAGTTAGCGAAATTCCAATGTGTGCGGATCGGCAAAAAATGCGAAATAACCCTTTAACCGTACATTTGACAGATACGCCCGCACTGACTTTTTTGTAGATCTTATTGAGATACATGTGTGTGTCAATTTTTGTGTCATTGTGTCAGGAAAAATAAGAAGAAAGAAAGAAAGAAAGAAGAAAGAAAAACCTATACAGGAATAATAGGGCTCTACACCCGGCTGCTCTGCAGCTGGCTCGGGCCCTAAAAACAAAGAAAAACCTATACAGGAACAACAGGGCTCTCGCAGCTGCTTAGCAGCTACGCTCGGGCCCTAACTAGGGCCCCGTTGGGGCACTGGCGGGCCCGAGCCGTGTCGCGCCGCCCCCCCCAACGCGCTGCCTCCCCGTCCCATTCGCGTCCTCTGGCCATCGCCCTCTCTGGTAACGCCCATCACTGCAAAGACCCTTTCCTTCATCGGCGTTTGCTTTTCTTCCTGCCAGTGCGTGTTGCTTTCACTTACACTTGCCACAGCCAGCCTCGTGAGTGCCTAGCCTATTGGATATCACTGTCATCTACACAGGACAGTCATAACCTTTCTATTAATACTTTGTTTTTTAATTTCACATTAATTTCCATATTGCATAAATGACTGGAAAAAACTTGAGCCCCTGCCCCTGTATAATCATGTGCACATCCCTGTTCTAGCTCCAAGGTGAATCTTCACTGCTCATGTTCTCCTCAGAAGCAGTCACCTCACTCCCCTCGGGTTACTGTACACATGCACCAACTGCCTGCTTCAGGTTTGGATGGAGCTTCATGGTTGTCTTTTGGAGAAATGAGCAGTCAAGTTGTGTTTGAAATTTGATTTTTTCCAGGGGCAAAAAGGGGCCTCTGCATTCTTTTCAAATATGTAAATAGCATGTTTTTGCAGGTGCTAAAAAAAAGACTGTGAGTGTGTGTGTGTGTGTGTGTGTGTGTATCCTGCAATACTCTGAGAAGAATAATAAGCATATTTCTGAGGTGAATTTTGAAGATTCTTCTGAGAGTTAGGAGGGCTGATCATTCCCTTACCCTTTAGATGTCTGTCTATGTCTGTTTTTGTGTGATAATGAAAGAATCCCAACTCAAAAAGGCTCTGTTGATGTTTTTTTTTTTGTTGTTCATTCATATTCAAACCACTATTTTATATCACTGCTAATACGCCAAGACCATTTTATGGTATTTAGCTTTATTATTTCTATACATTTTGCAAGGACAGAAACCAAGGCCTTCACTAAAATTTCCATAAACTTTAGGAAAGGACCTCTGGTTGTTTAAGGGGGTCATTACTGCAGAAACATATTCTTCCTAAATTTTGAAGGTCAAACCTTAGATCCATTAGGTTTAAATAGAAAAAGCATTAAAATATGTTCGGATTATAGCATATGATAAAATGTGTGCCTCTCAGTGGCCATAACAACTTTGTCTGCTGGCTCTGCAGTCGATTGACGCTCCCCAGCGTTCAAGTCACATGACATATTTAACCGGATGTAGCTGCAAGACGGAGCCTCGTTGACTCTCCGTTTCAACTTATCTCCAAAGTGAGGACCTCAAACTATATACCAGTTTTTAAATTGTCTTGCTAGGCCAAATAAAACCAGAGTTATGATAAATTATGTCTGCGATACTTTTTTTCTGCTTATTTCGATCACGTTCGGCGTTCGATCGCGCTGTATGAGACACGAAAACATAGCATGCAGACATTAGCGACAGGTCTTACAGGCGGAAAAGGCTTGCCAAAAGAAAAAAAAACACACCACAACATCTCTCCTATTGGTGGAAAACTTTACCACAACAACCAATCCAAAATTATATGGTGACTGATTGACAAGGGGCGGGTGCTTACGTTCTTCCTGCAACATGAGAAGGGAGGGAGGGACTCTCAGCAGGGATGCAGTCTGGGACACGTAGTTGCAAACCTAGCGACTTTGTTGTTAGATTCAATGACTTTTCAGACCCCCTAACGCCTTTTTTTTTTAGAAAGAAAGGGACTTTTATCGACTTCTTCTGGAGTTTAGAGACTCTGACATGAAGCAGGCTTTCCTTACTGAGGAGTTAGCAATGCTGCTAAGGGTGCAGAGCCACACATGCGCTCAGAGCTCTGCATGGGAGACTGAAGCTGACAGAGCTGCAGCAGTTAGCAGGTTTCACCCTCAGAGACCACCAGGGGTTCATGATGAGGCATTTTAATTTTTTTTTTTTTTTTTTTTGCCATAGACACTGTCAGCACAATCTGCAGTTTCACTAACAAAAATGCTGCAAAAAACAAAGAATTATGGAAAAATTACACATGGACTGACATAGAGGAGCATCTACACAAAAGTTTTTTACATCATGTTTTACATCATGCATCATTTACATCATGTTTTTTTGTAGTGGCATAAATAAAAAGTGACATTTGTGAGACTATATAATGTTTTGTAAATAATTTTACAAAGAACGCCTGGGCCATTGCCTGCATTTTGATGTAAATAGAGGTAAATTACTATGTTCTTTGTTAAAAATTTGCATATTTTTTGAAGTTTACAATTTGTATTTGAAGTTAAAGTTTTAAAAACAGTTCATCAAACATATTTGTGGTTTTCACAGTAAAAATGTTACTTTTTTCCACTCGGATTTTATGTTTTGTGTGTGAATTTGGGTCCATTGTGTAAAAACAGTATGTCAAAATGATAAAATAACTGTAAATTCACACAGGTGAGGTTGTGCTGAAAAAAATGATACCAGGCAAGGCAAGGTAGAAAATTTTTAAGAGGAAATATAAAGGTAAAATCTAAAGTAGTCAAAAACGGCCAATAGTGACTCCCAGACTCCATAGACAAGTCCCTTTGGCGCCACTCAGTGGCCAAAACTACTTTGTCTGCTGTAATGTATATTTGGGTCATCTTTGGCGCCCCCTAGAACGTAAACCGTGGGGTGCAGCGTCATGATTTTTACAACTGTGAATGGCCATGGGTTGTAGATTGGCCTGAGCAAATTTGGTGTCAGTGGGACGAAAGCCTTAGGAGGAATTAGCGAAATTCCAATGTGTGCGAATCTGCAAAAAATGCAAAATAGCCCTTTTACCGTACATTATACAGATACGCGCTCTTTGACTTTTTCGTAGATCTAATTGAGATACACATGATTGTCAATTTTTGTGTCAATATGACAAAGCGTTCAGGCGTGACACTCAACAATGTGTATTTTCATGTAAGGGGACAAGAAAAAATGGACTTTTTTCTCCTGCCATGGGGGGGCGCTCTTTTGGGGAGTAAAAATTCCTTCACAAATGTGTTGATGGCTGGACATTGCATTATCCTAGAAAACTTGGAGGCCAGTGAGGACAAAAATAAAAAGTTATAAGACTTTTAAGAATGTGGATTTTTGGGTTATCTTTGGCGCCCCCTAGAACCTAAACCGTGGGGTGCAGCGTCATGATTTGTACAACTTTTAATGGCCATGGGGTGTAGATTGGCCTGAGCAAATGTGGTGCCAGTGGAACGAAAGCCTTCGGAGGAGTTAGCGAAATTCCAATGTGTGCGGATCGGCAAAAAATGCGAAATAGCCCTTTAACCGTACATTTGACAGATACGCCCGCGCTGACTTTTTTGTAGATCTTATTGAGATACACGTGTGTGTCAAATTTTGTGTCAATATGACAAAGCGTATAGGCGTGACACTCAACAATATGTATTTTCACCTTAGGGGACAAGAAAAAAATGGACTTTTTTCTCCTGCCATGGGGGGGGCGCTCTTTTGGGGAGTAAAAATTCCTTCACAAATGTGTTGATGGCTGGACATTGCATCATCCTAGAAAACTTGGAGGCCAGTGAGGACAAAAATAAAAAGTTATTAGACTTTTAAGAATGTGGATTTTTGGGTTATCTTTGGCGCCCCCTAGAACGTAAACCGTGGGGTGCAGCGTCATGATTTGTACAATTTTTAATGGCCATGGGGTGTAGATTGGCCTGAGCAAATTTGGTGCCGGTGGAACGAAAGCCTTCGGAGGAGTTAGCGAAATTCCAATGTGTGCGGATCGGCAAAAAATGCGAAATAGCCCTTTAACCATACATTTGACAGATACGCCCGCGCTGACTTTTTTGTAGATCTTATTGAGATACACGTGTGTGTCAAATTTTGTGTCATTTTGACAAAGCGCACAGGCGTGACACTCAATCATGTGAATTTTTCACCTTAGGGGGCGCTATGGAGCCATTTTGCATTTGATTGTTTGGGCGACTTCAGAATATCGAATTTTTCACCAGGCCCGGTCGTCCTGCCAAATTTCATGAGTTTTCACCAGTGGGAAGTGGGCCATTTTCCAGTTCAAAGGGGCAGAAAAATAAGAACTAGGGCCCCGATGGGGCACTGGCGGGCCCGAGCCGTGTTGCGTCTCCCCCCCCCCCCCCAACACGATTGCTTCCCTGTCCCATACGTATCCTCTGACCATTGCCCTCTCTGGTAATGCCCATCACTGCAAAAACCCTTTTCCTGTATCGGCGTTTGCTGTTCTTCCTGCCATTGGTGTTGCTTTCACTTTCTCTTGCTGCAGCCAGCGTTGTGAGTGTATGGCCTGGTTTGAGCTTTGCTCACCATGATTGTGTGACTTTGGTATTGGCTACTTGGGAAGTTCCAATGCTGTGGCAAAGCTTTGTTTGTGTGCTATGCTTAACCAGTTATTTTCTATGGATGTGTAAGTAAACCACTTTCTGTTGTTACACAATGACACACTCATACTTAGGGCCCGAGCGTAGCTGCTAAGCAGCTGCGAGAGCCCTGTTGTTCCTGATGAGTTTTTCTTTGTTTCTTTCTTTCTTCTTTTTCCTCCCCTTTGAACTGGAAAATGGCCCACTTCCCACTGGCGAAAACTCATGAAATTTGGCAGGACGACCGGGCCTGGTGAAAAATTTGATATTCTGAAGTCACCCAAACAATAAAATGCAAAATGGCTCCATAGCGCCCCCTAAGGTGAAAATTCACACTATTGACTGTCACGCCTGTACGCTTTGTCAAAATGACACAAAAATTGACACACACATGTATCTCAATAAGATTTACAAAAAAGTCAGTGCGGGCGTATCTGTCAAATGTACGGTTAAAGGGTTATTCCGCATTTTTTGCCGATTCGCACACATTGGAATTTCGCTAACTCCTCCGAAGGCTTTCGTTCCACCGGCACCACATTTGCTCAGGCCAATCTACACCCCATGGCCATTAAAAGTTATTCAAATCATGACGCTGCACCTCACGGTTTAGGTTCTAGGGGGCGCCAAAGATAACCCTAAGATCCACATATTTAAAAGTCTTATAACTTTTTATTTTTGTCCTCACTGGCCTCCAAGTTTTCTAGGATGATGCAATGTCCAGCCATCAACACATTTGTGAAGGAATTTTTACTCCCCAAAAGAGTGCCCCCCCATGGCAGGAGAAAAAAGTCCATTTTTTCTTGTCCCATAAGGTGAAAATACACATTGTTGACTGTCATACCTGTACGCTTTGTCATATTGACAAAAAATTTGACAATCACATGTATCTCAATAAGATCTACAAAAAAGTCAATGCGCGCGTATCTGTAAAATGTACGGTTAAAGGGCTATTTTGCATTTTTTGCAGATTCGCACACATTGGAATGTGGCTAAGTCCTCCTAAGGCTTTCGTCCCACTGACACCAAATTTGCTCAGGCCAATCTACACCCCATGGCCATTCAAAGTTGTAAAAATCATGACGCTGCACCCCACGGTTTACGTTCTAGGGGGCGCCAAAGATAACCCTAAAATCCACATATTTAAAAGTCTTATAACTTTTTATTTTTGTCATCACTGGCCTCCAAGTTTTCTAGGATGATGCAATGTCCAGCCATCAACACATTTGTGAAGGAATTTTTACTCCCCAAAAGAGTGCCCCCCCATGGCAGGAGAAAAAAGTCCATTTTTTCTTGTCCCATAAGGTGAAAATACACATTGTTGACTGTCATACCTGTACGCTTTGTCATATTGACACAAAATTTGACAATCACATGTATCTCAATAAGATCTACGAAAAAGTCAATGCGCGCGTATCTGTAAAATGTACGGTTAAAGGGCTATTTTGCATTTTTTGCAGATTCGCACACATTGGAATGTGGCTAACTCCTCCTAAGGCTTTCGTCCCACTGACACCAAATTTGCTCAGGCCAATCTACACCCCATGGCCATTCAAAGTTATAAAAATCATGACGCTGCACCCCACGGTTTACGTTCTAGGGGGCGCCAAAGATGACCCAAATATCCACATTCTTAAAAGAATGCTTTTGTTTATGATATGAATCCATATGCCATAAGGTGTTGTTGTCTCTGCAGGTGTAGGCTAGTGATGGTGTCAGAGATGTGGTAGTCCTCTGAGCATGATCCACTCTGGATCACAAATGTTGATCATCATCAGTTTCATTGTCTCTTCACTAGAAGTCTGTGAATCACCTGCTGATACATCGAGCGGTAACCCTGCAAATGACCAGCTTTAGTTATTTCCTCTTTCATAAAAGTAGTTCTATGACTTTACATACCTTATGAATTATTCTCCTAAATGTACAATCTTAATATCTTAATCTTAAAACAAAACTTAATTTTGTCTTGATACTGTGGTGTAGTTGTGTCAGCCTTTTTTATGTTTGTGATTGTTGTAGTAGAGCGGATCAGTTGTCTCGAAATATGTTTGGTTTAGAGATTTTTGTGAGTTTAGAGATAAGCTCGCATACAGTCTGAGCTGATTGTGTTGTTTTTAGATTTTTTGTATTTTCTTTGGGGATGTGCTGTGTCTCCAAGCAAGTCCAGTTTTTCACCTGAAATGTGAAGCTTTGCAGCGGCATGCAAAGTATCTACCAAAACGCTTGCTAAAGAAGAACCCTTTGATCAATAATACACCCAGGACAAATGTTGTCCTTTTAGTGCCATGTGATATGTACATGTGATCATAAAGTAGACAGTTCACAAATGGAATACAACCTTCTCACTGAAAGTCAGTACAATAACTCCAGATGTTTGAATGGTAAAATGAATTAAATCATGTACAAGCACAGTGGATAATATGTAATATAAATAAATGATTAGAAGTGATGTATATTATTATTTATTTATTTACCTATCAGGGACAGTGCACAGTGATAAGCATGTCAATTAATAAAGTGAAAAGGCATGTAAATGCACCAGAGTTAACCATAGATAGTGTTGTGTGTAATCCTAGAGTAGGTTATCAAAAATGGTGTGATCATTCATACAAAATTCATATATGAAAAATACATTGCAATACATATAATACAAATTTAGGTACAAAGGAAATACAAATTAAATGTCAAAATGTATTATGAAATTAAATAATGTGACTTGTTATTACAAAAAAGCTGAGAAACAATTAAAAAATAACAATTTCTGGTACATGTGAAGTGTGTGCTGCATCCCTTTTTGGGTGGAGTTGTCATAGGCTGATCCCTGGAGTAGTGGCGGGTTGAGTGGTTGGTAACAGGCTGTAAAGAAGAGACAATATATTAGTTACATGTTTATATAATGAGAAGCAATCAACATATAGTTATAACACATTTGCTTAGCATGCATTAGTTTCTGGCTGGAGTTGACAGTGGCTGATATCGCCTGTGATGGTTGTGTCATGGGATAAATATGTGGGTACATGTTTTGAAGAAGACATGACACATCAGTTACATAATCACACAGTTAGAATTCATAGTAATTACAATTATATACCACTGTTGTATGCATCCCTTCTGAGGAAGAGACACAATGTGTGTTTATACAAGTAGTATAGTGTATGAATGAAAATAGTTAAATATAAATTGAAATTCACACGTACCAATTGTGTATTGTTTCAGTAATCCATCAGGGTCTCATTTCACCAAAGGTGGAGTAATGATGGGCTGGTCAGTCTTCAGCTGGAGCAATCATAAGATGTATGGTATATTTGTTGAAACAGTGAGGAGAGGAGAGATTATATCAGTTACAAGTGACAAATGAAGAAGTCATCATATTGGAGAAATAGTAACTAGGCGCATTGCTAATGTTTCATTTTTTGTAGTCAAGTTGTTATGTTCAGAATAATTGCAAGTGTAAATGAAGTGGAGAGGTGATGTATCACATGTTAGTTTGCATTAAATCACCATAAATGTCCATCCAAATCATTACTTACAATGTCCTGAAGTGGTCACTTGCGTTGACATCATGGTTTGTCCAGGCGTTGTAAATTGATCCATCTGCTAGCTGTTTGGAAACCTGCTAAAACACTTTCAAATCTACTTTTCTATGAAAAGCATTAGTAATATCCAAAACAGCAGTGTACATGATTAATCACAAATTTTAAAGCTGCAGTAAATACCTTCATGGTCGCTAAAATATGAAGGCATTACTTCAGCTTGTGTGTGGAAAATGCCCCCTCTCACATAAACATGATCAATCAAAGTGCCTCGCTCTGTGGTAGGCTGGGTGATCACCTGATCATAACCTCTATCTTGGAACAATTTGCAAATTGAAGATGACTTCAATATGTCATTGTTGAAATCTCCCATGACAATTATGTTTTTGCCAATTTGTTCCAGCCATTGGAGTAGTTTGATAATATTTTGTTTGAATAGTGTCATGGGGTAGGTTGGAGGTCGATATATGACTGTAAGGAAAATGTTAAGGTTTATGCAGTGGTACACCAAACATTCCACATTGAAACAAGGCACCTTGATGATTGCAAACTGCATAATTTTACCACAATACATTGCAACTCCCCCATGTTCTTTAGCTTGCAAAGAGGCAAAGGGGGCAGTTTTACCATCATATGCCAGACCTCGTGGACAACTATGCAAAGAGTAGTTGGCTATCTCGAGTGTGTCTGAGGAACAACCTGGATGCAACCATGTCTCAGTCACAGCAATGCACTCAGGCTGCAAATGTTGTGTGTGCTGAGCCAAGTCAGACACATGGCGTCTCAAACCCTGAACATTCATGAGGAACACTGTCAAAGTGTCCTTCACTCTCCCTTGCCAGGTGATAGGTTCTAGGAATGAAGCCATCCTTGAAGTGGCCTGAGCAATTTCTGGCCGACAATAGATTTTTTTTGGATTGAAATCTTGAATGATCAATCCCATAAGAGTCCTGACACGACTCAAAGCAACATAAACCTGACCAGCAGAAAACACCTTTTTCATACTAACTGTGGCTGTATCAACTGTGAGACCTTGTACTTTGTGTATAGTACAGGCCCAGGCGAGACGAAGCGGAAATTGACGGCGCATACCTCCCTTCTTTGTCACTCTTTCTTCCTCTGGTGCAATAGCTGTGGATGCAACAAGATGATCTGAAACCGTTCCTGACTGTTTCCTCCTCTCAACACCAACTGCTTCATCATCAAATTTCACCAAAATACACCGAGGAAACTTTTCATTTTCAACACAAACTACATCTGTTACTGTGCCACATGCACCATTAACTAAGCCGTCAGCCAAATCCAAGTTTTTTGTCAACATGACACGTGACCCAGTACCCAACAACAATTCTGCATCTAAACACGTGTTATACGTTAGAGTATGATATCCCTTTTTCAATTCCATTTTGCCTGTTTTTGAGTTGTTTATATAATCCTGAGCCTGTATTACATGGTAATCTGGACATGTTCTTTGCAGCTGCTCAAAGTTGTGCTCATTGACCTGGCTATTTGTGGCAAATATGTGCAAACCTGAGCACTCTTCGCCAGTTTCTCGCTGTTGCAAAGTGGTGATATCACTTTGCAACATGTCTGAGTCTTTTGGATGGGTCCGAACCCGATTCAGTAGTCCGGCAAAATCATCGTCTGTCTGCCGAATTACTTTTGTCAACTTGACAACCTTAAAATGAGTGCTCCAAAGATCAACTCCAAGTGGTTCCATGTATAACGGTTTGCCTTTCACTGGGGGCAACTGATAAAAATCCCCCACTGCCATGACGCTCACATTTTCAAATGCAGTGTGAGTGCCTGTCTGTTTAATTTGGCGAAGTCGGCCGTGCACATAAGTGAGCATATTGTGATCCACCATAGAAATTTCATCAATGATCAAGATTTGGAGATCACAATATTTCATTCTCAATGTGTTTAACTTTTCTTCACCTATTGGCACATAAGGGAGGCGAACATCTTTCCCTATGCTAAATGTACTGTGCAGGGTGGTTGCATGCAGATTATATGCAGCAATCCCTGTTGGTGCTGTCAACAAAATACTGATATTGTCAGGTTGTCGACACATTGGTGACAATAACCTTGTGGCCTCGTATTGAATCGCTCTGATTAAATGCGATTTTCCAACGCCAGCACCACCTGTTACAAACACATGAAAGGGGTCTGGGTTTTTACCTGCTGCTTTAACAACACACCACTGATGGACCTTGTTTAAGACACGCATCTGGTCATCATTCAAAGACCTGCACAATGCCAATCTTTCACTTCTAGTTAAATTGTTGCACTTAGTTACCTTAGCCTGCTCTACACCCCCAGCCAGATCAGGAATATGTTCCACTGGGTCATTGTCTACCTGTATCTGCTCTGCCCTTTCCTGGATTGACTCCAGTCGTTCAATCTCTTGCTGTGGGAACAACTGCCCCCACGCATCTTCTACAGGACCATCAAAATTCACAGAATCAAAAACCTCATCTAAGTCATCGGCATCTATTTCATAATTGCAGCGATTCGAGTCCACAACTGACTTCACTGAACATAGCTGGCCATCAGCAATGATGACAAGGCCAGTTTTGTAGAAGTCTTCAAAAGTGACAAATCCGTCTGGCTTTAGCTGTTCTTCTGTCCGATACGGAAGGAACAGCTGCAAAATGCTTTGGTGAAATAATTCTGGACTTTTAGTCTCAGAGAATCTTGCGTACCTTACAACAGCAGGCTGCGTTCGGGTTCTTCTCAACACAAACCCACAGCCGTTATCAAGTTCAATGCGATTTTTTGATTTTTCACCTTTGTAGAGCACACGATACTCAGCAGCAAAATGGACAAGGCACATGGTTTCAAATACATGATCTCTGGGTCTGTTTTTATAACGCTCCACAAAGTTGATCATCCACATCTGTTCTGTGGATTCAGCAGCCATGTCTTTTAACACAGTCAATGGCTTGCTGATCCTGACAACATTGTCACCTGTTGGTACAAAAACCACCTTCCGAGAGCACTCTTTTAAGTGCATGTTGCTGAGCTTGTAGACTGCCTCCTGAGCTCCAACATCTCGGTTGTGAAGGTAAACACTGCCTAGCTTTTTCAAAGCCTGTTTGGCACTGAGGTTGTCTTCCTTGGAAGCTTCACGCTGTGCATTTGCTAACATCAATCCCATCTCTCTTTCTGCTTTAGAGATGTATGAAATGATGTACACTACACAAGCATACGCATCAGTCACATACTGGATGTCCATGTTTGCATTCCAAGCTTTTAACAGAGTCTTGGAATGTGGATTGATCCACGTATCAATAACCTGGCGTCGCATAGTCACCTCTGTCTTTTTCCCTAACCTCCTGTATGCTGCCTCAAATGTCTCCTGTCGTATACCTATACTCGCAAATAGCTCATCTGCAGTTTGAATTGTGCAGTTCTTGTCTGACAACGCGTTAGCTATTAATTCAAATACCTTAACAGCGAATTCCCCTTCCTGCTTGTGCTTTTTCTCATTTTCTGCCTTGCCACAAGTGCACTGTTCTACCACATTATGGATGTTGCGCTGACACACGCACTCCATCTCAACCTCCTTATACGCCCTGGAAATGAAAGTCCTAGCAGACACTGGTTTTGGGAAATTGAAGTGGCACTGTTTTCCACCCTTTTTACAGGTTTTGGAGTGCCGCTTTGAATGCTGCTGCACTAAAGAAACAACATCATGTAAATCATCAGTGTTGTTAGGCAGTTCACATGAAACATATTTATCAATAAACTGAACAACTTCATCATCTGTATTCACATCAATTACAGTGGCATTCTCAATCCAAAACAGACAATGAACGTGTGGATAGCCACGCTGCTGGAACTCCACCCTGTAAAAGTAGTTGAGGATTTTGCCAATCGGATTTGCTGGAGACATCAACACCTCTTTCAAAAACAGATGCCAGCGATAATCAAACATGCGAGCGGCAAGTACAGGATTACGACGCAAGAGGTCGCACTTGTCTGCCCACTCCAAATCCTCAAATGTCTGCGTTCGCCCCTCTGCCCTAAGAATGGTCTCTAAGTATTCCTTCCATCTCAAATCTGCTGCAGAAAATGAACAAAACCATGCAGGTTTGCCAAGCTGGCGCAAGCATGCTAACAAATCCTTCTGAATTCCCTGCCAAAATGCTGGAGTACCCCTTACAGGTTTTAAAAACCGGTACCCATCGTCATGATTTAAAAGATTACGCAGGTTCTCGTCATCTTTCAATACATCACTAATCTTTGTGCTAACCTTACTGGCTTTCCCTTTTCTCAACGCAATTGACACACTGGACATGACTTGATGTAACTCAAGCATGTAACAAGCATAAAAAATAAACTCAATATTCTGCGCAAACCTACCATCAGCATGATATAGCCTGTTGCTCAAATAGCGGAACAGAGTCAGAGAAAATTTTCTGTTATCAAAAAATGTTCCATGGCCTTTTGGAAACAACACAGGGAAACACTTGGCCTCGTTCTCCTTTGTTGTCAAAACCTTCACAGGGTTCTGTCCATCAGCTGGAGCCAAGTTCAAAACACCATCAAAATATTGGTCCAGCGCTTCCTGGCCAATATCAACAGGCATTGAGCATGTGTCTTGAAACATGCAATGTTGCTGCCGATCATGCAGAAGTTCTTCCTCAGCCTCAGCTTCCTCAGCTGCAGCTCTTTCAGCTGCAGCCTTTTCAGCTGCAGATGCCTCAGAGGTCTCTGCATTTGATCCTCCCTGTTCATCAACAATACTTTGCTGCTCTTTGTCAGCACTCTCATCCCTGCAGAACTCATTTATCCAGTCATCATTGAACTGCACATCTTTGTAGAAGGGATTGTTCTCTTTCAAATACTGCAGTGCTTTTTGATATGCATAGGGTCAACATACTCGTATGCATAATGCCCTTTATAAGTAAGTTTGCGCTTCAGTTTAACCGGAATAACTGAACCTTCCATGTTTGAATGTGGCAACGCGTTTGGACAATGTTGGCTGGAATACATGCAATTGGACCATGAACACCATTTTGACGCCCTCTAGGAAGAGCTACCATCTTCAAAAAGGGGATATGGAGTGCAATTAAATGTGATTCTAGACGATTTAAACAAGCCAACTCAGGAGGGATTGGATCAACGGTCAGATTGTTGGTTGCGCTCTCAGCTGGCACCTGACCTTTACTGAGCTTGCCATGACAAGAATGACAAATCCACAAACTACCACGAGGGGACGCTTTCAAAACACATGGTTTGGCACAAGAAGACATACATTTATGCACAAACACATCTTGAATACATCCAGCTGCGACAGCAGCTACATTTGTATTGCTACGGTAATTCTCTATAGTACAAATCAAAACCTGGTGTTTAAACAACAGTCTATGGCACACACTACACACAAAGGCTGGCCCATCTTTGATTTTTTCTAAAAACTGCTCAATTACAAAGTCCATGTGTTCTAGTTTAGCCTTCTTTTGTAATATTTTAAGTTTCTTAGATGCAGGGAACTCGTGGTACTTTGTCCTTTGTAAGTGTAATTTTATTTGCCTAAATGCATTATTTCCATATTTCACTTTACTTTGTTCCCTGCTCTTGTTTTTTACTTTTTGTCTGTGTATGTCATTTTCGTCATAAGTTCTTTTACTTTTCAGTTTAAGATTTCGTTTGTGTATCTCATTAGTTCTGTACTTCACTTTGCTTCTGTTTTTAACCTTTTGTCTGTGAATCTCACTAGTTCTGTACTTCACTTTGCTTCTGTTTTTAACCTTTTGTCTGTGAATCTCACTAGTTCTGTACTTCACTTTGCTTCTGTTTTTAACCGTTTGTCTGTGAATCTCACTAGTTGTGTACTTCACTTTGCTTCTGTTTTTTTTCACCGTTTGTCTGTGAATCTCACTAGTTCTGTATTTTATTTTGCTGCTGCTTTTAACCTTTTGTCTGTGTACATTGTCTTCTAAGTATTTACTTGTACTCAAACTCTTGAGTTTCTGTTGATACAACAGATTGTGCTTATATCTATTCCTAACATTTTGGTTATGTCTGCTGTAAACCAAGAAGTCTTTGTGGTACTTGATTTTCATTTGCAAACACTTCATTTTTTTACGATATCTTGACAACCTTTTTTCATTATCTGAAGGACTTTGAATGTGATGACTCTGTTGTTTGAAGTCCTGACATCGTTTTCTGAGGTTATAGGGCACAGCTTTGCTCAGTTTTGTCAAAGTGTAGTCAGTGCTATGTGCAAAAGCAGCTTTACACAAATCACAGCAACCACAGTCCACATTAGGTTGGCGAACACAAAGAACAGCCTCATAATGGATGTTATTACAGTTCTCCAAATACACTGCCTGTTCTGATAATTGTTGACCTTGACAGATGTATTGAAGCCATCGACCGTCAATATAGGTAAAAATGCTTACCCCTAAACAATTTGCTGCAGCCTGAATCTCCACCTCTGTGGCCCAACTACCCACATATCGCATTCTGGACATGTTGAGATATTCTTTAACAGAGGTAAATTCACGTCTCAGAATATGCTCATATGATTCAGGATGACATTCAATATGTTTACAAATGGCCAACCTGACTTTCCTGTGAAACTTTTCACTACCAGACAAAACATAACTCACAGCTCTGAAGAAGCAATTGCCGTCACTGACAATGGGGTGCTTCTTGCATGGAGGTCCTAATATGCCAGCTACAAATCCTTCCACATCAACTTTCTGACATTCTATTCCTAAAGTGGTGCTCAAAACTTTTGCAACATCTAACTGAAGGGGGTGAAACAGTAAATGTTGTTGGGCTCCATTACCAACACACACCACATCATCGTCACTCTGGCTTATTGCATCATCAATGCACACAACATCGTTATTATCTGCAATGTCGTTGCTCGTGTCTTTAACAATGAATACATCATCACTAAAAATGCTTGTTTTTGCTTTCTTGGCAGCAGGAGCATGCACAAAGCTTTGACGTTTCAAGCCCTGCTTCCTATGTACTGATGTACTGGATGAACATCCCTGCTTGGAGTACAACACTTCTTGATGTACATCTGCATAGACATTTCTAATTCTAGTCAGTGTGTCAGTATTTACTCTTGAGCTGGATGGCAAACACATACTTTGAATAGTTGACATTCTAGGGATTGCACGCACACCAGCAACTTCAAAAGCCTGGTTGCTCACATGCTGTGATGCAGCCAAGGTCAATGCATGTGTATGCATTTCTTGCAAGTTATGGAAATACATGACAACACTTCTGCCATCAGGATCCACCAGGCCTGAAGTGTTTCGGGCATGAGAGTCAACAACAGCGAACACACCATTCTCACGAATGACCACACATGTGCTGCAATGCAATGTCAAAAAGCATGTGTCATATTTAGCGAACACAATTTGGAGACCATTCAGCAATGTTGTCAACCCAGGTGCAAATGGTGAATCATCAGTCTGGTTGATGAGTCCAGACACGTAATCACCATACTCAAAGTCAAACTTTATGCCATCAATTGTGTGTGAAGCAGGTAAATCAGGAATACACAAAAAATCAGTACTGCCACTGATTTTGTCATTGTCTCGCAGATATGTGTACAGTTGATCCCCACAGAGCAAAGCTGTGTCGAGATCATCCACACTCCAGGTGAAAACGCTTTTGACACTGTGTTTGGCAATGCTAGCCAGCCCAACTGCCATACACTGTTGCCCAGGATTATTTAAGATATCACTTGCCTGGTGAAACGATTCCAGGACACTGTGTCTTACTCGACCTGGGTCAGACATTTCACCCTCAATTTCAGTGCACAGAAACTGTACTGCCTTGCTCTCCACACTGCTAAGCTGCACAGGTGAGTGATCAAAATCACCAAACACAAGAGGGGGGGAAAGAGGACGCTTACGTATACTTACCTGTTCCACCTGGCTGCCTCTCTCTGGCTGGGGTCCTGACAGGATGGCAGTGGTCTGGAGCTCTGCCACCCTCTCCAAGTCCTCCTCAGGTGAAGTGAGTTCTGTAGGAGGAGGCACCTCAGTAGTCTGGGGCTCAGCTGGGCTCTGCACACGCAAGGCCCTTCCCTGCACATGAAAGTTTGTGCATAAATATATTGTCATTGCTAAAAAAGGCAAATTGTAAAAGTGTGTACATATATAGTTGAAAGTAGAAGCATTTTGATGAAAGCAGCCCATTAACTGATAATACCAAGATCTGAATTGGTATGAATAAAGAGAAATATCTTTTGAACTTAAGGGCTGAGTAAAATTTCTGTATGTTATCATTTCAGTTCAGTATGATAAACTTGGTTTAGATGCAAACCTAGTTCTGTGTAGTTGCATATTAATATACCATGTGTGCTAATGAAGAAACAAACCTGCTTCTTGGTACGGGTCCTTTGAGATGCAACCACAGTCCTGCGTGGTTCCACACGTGGCATCTGATAGAAAAAATATTTATTATAAGCACTGTTGTCATGTAACACCACACATTTAATGAATGAACAGTACAAGCGCAACTGTAGTTTCACATTTTTACTGACCTCATCATCTTGTGGAACAGGGTTGGGAACCTGGGACGGCGAAATCTTCTCCATGGCATCCAGCAGGTGTGCACTGAAATGGATAGGGTTGAGACGCACAAAGCAATCTCGCAACCCAACTGTTGACAACTAGGATGAGAAGGAGAGAGAAAAACCAATATAGAATAAAGGAAGTACTACTTGAGAAAAGGGTGTCTTATCAAAGAAAATGTGTGCAATCAAAACAGCCACTGTGATGACAGTGGTTTTGTATTATGTATAAGTGTGCCATATGAAAAATGACAAACCTGCTGCGTGCATGGAGCAGAGTCCTTCACCTCGTTGTCAGAGAGATTCTGCTGTGATAAGTTAGTTGAAAATTAACACTACTGTATTAAATACATGTACTATACGTATATACACACACAGGAATAGTATTTTTACCTTGTGCACCTTTCCACACACTGTCCACTCAAAGGGGTTGGATGGTTGAGGTGCAGGCACCTCTCCCCTCACAACCACCTTTGGTGTGACAGTGCTCAGGGGGGGGGGACGCCTGCGCTGCACTGATCGCAGTGATGCATGGTCCACTGTCTCCAGTTCAGTGTACGCTGCCTGCCAGAGACGCTGCCCCAGAATAGGCGACCCACCGTCATCACTGAGATGGACCTATGTAGCAAACAAGATAATTGTCATGATCACAAATTTGCATGATGCAAAATTGTGTGCATTTATTATGAAGTCCATATGAATATAACATAAGTAGGGATTGTACTTACAGAATCCGTGCACCACAGCATGCGGTATCTCAGGGGGAAATCGTCAGCAGCAGGGCAAACATATCGAATGCCTGTTAATGTAAAGTCAGACAAAGTTAAACATTAGTAAATATGTGCATATTTAACTTAAAGCACAAAAGACAGTTATTCTATCACCTTGTCCATAAAATGTACAGAGTTGTGATGTATTCTAAATATTACATGTATATTGTATGTGTTTTTTGTACATGTGTTATATGATTGGTTGTGTGATGATATTATTGTCATATAGAATTTTGTCATGAAACTGAATTTAAGATGTTGTAAAACCTACCCATACGTGCTGCGACGCGATGGAATTCCTGCCGCAGGAGATCCTGGTGGTCTAAAGGATGGTTCAGCCGTGGTGGAAAATCATACACAATTACCTATAAAAATAGCAAGTAGAGCAGAAGGACAAGAAATACAAGAGTTATTACAGAGTGTAACTACTAATTGACATACTACAAAATGTGTTAATTAGATCATAGCCCCACCTTGAACCACCTCCCAATGGCAGTGGAGAGAAGTTGAGCAAAATCTGTTGACGACTTCTCAAGAGACCCTTGGGTTGTTAGGTTGTTGCTAGGAGCCATGAGTATGACCAAGTCAGGACTGCAAGGCACAGCAGCATGCACCATCTCAATCCTCAGTTCGTTGGCACAGGCCCCTGGTGTGGACATGAACCCAAATGACATCCGTCCTTCAGGCAATGGCACAACCCCATCAACAAATGGACGCAGGTGAGAGTCACCGACAATAAGAACAAACTAGAATGAAAAAGGGAAAAGTATTAATTAAATACTGTATCAGTTCAAATATATGTTGTGAGGGTAAAAAAGAATGTCAGTATCATACCTTCTTGTTGGGAACCTCAGGAGGAATGACCAATTTGTGTTGGCGACCAGTCAACACAGATACTGGCCACTGGTTAACACGATGGCGATAACCAGTCCCCACAGTGCCTATTTAAGAGACAACATTCACATGTATCATTACAAGGGTCAAACAGTAAACTTGATGTGAATGTGTTTTGTCCTAGATACAGAGGAACAAGAAACTGTAACTGTAAATATAGTGATGTGCAGACGAAAATGATATTTGTAAAAGAAAATGTTACACACCTGGAGGCATGTCATCACGGTAGCCTTGCGGACCAACAATCAGGAACTCGCGCTGAGCGTGTCGCCTGGTTGCAGCCTGTGACTTACGCCAACCCTTCTGTTTTGGCATCTGAAAGTATAATAGATGTTATTATATTTTTAAAACTTCATATCAACCATCAAACATATGTGTTATGTTATAAAAACACATGAAAACAAAAACTATTGATAAACAGTGACAATAACCATTTTTGACCTGTGACCTAATTTGACAATCACATTTGTGATGACCACTGACATACAAAAAAGGATAATGTCTTTCTCAAATGTATTTGTTTTTTACTTGATGTGTAGGTGGTGTACAAGAGAGAGGAGGCCTACTCTATGGAAGTGAAACAGCAGTGTTGGGGACAGGAGAAAACTATGGCAGAGGAAAAGTCACCCTTTCTAGTAAGGAGCGAGTCCAACTAAACAGTGGCAACCTTAGACTAAATTACTCCCCAGGCCACCACCACTTTAACCTCCCAACACACACACATACACCAAAAGAGAGATATTTGCACAGCCTCAGCCTCTGTAGTAGATAAAACAACATTCAAAGTATTTGAGAGCTTATATATGTGGCTTTCAAGAAAGCTCTCTTAGTTTTGTGAACGTTCATCACATTTTTGAAAATGTTGAACAAACACATTTAAATGACAAAACGCAACTGTATACAAAAATAGTAAAGGTTGTGTACTGGAGAATGACAAATTATTTGCTGTGTGTAAAACAAGTGCTTGTCATGATAAAGTGTTCATTCAATACAAATGTAAATCTAGAAAATAAGGTGTGGAAAGGTTAAACAGCTGTCCCAGTATAGTGCTAGTACAAATAAGGCTCTAAATACGCTTTATTCACCTATCAGAGGTAGACAAGTACAGGGATTTGATTCACCACGACTCCAGGAATGTTTAAAAATCTACAAAATCATGTTCCGCGCTAGCAATGCGCAGCCGCGCTCCCCTCTTGGAAAACTGATTTGCTGATATGGATACACAGAGCAAACTGTCCTCTGCAACACTGTGGGATGTTCCTTCCCACAACAGTCTAGAGTGTGGCCCATAGAGAGCATGTATTCCCGACCACAACATAACCCGACCAATCAGAGACAGTGTTTTCACTGTTACCCAGACAACAGGAAAAGGCAGCCCCTGAGTGGCTCATGTGTAATAATCACGTCTACCACATGCTACGGGACTTGTCATCTGTGTTCATTCAGAACGCCATTAATTCTGCAGTTGATTCTGTGAAGTCAGCAGAAATCGTTTATATCCTACGTCCTCTGTGTATATAAACGATTTCTGCTGACTTTGCAGATTCAACTGCAGAATTAACGGCGTTCTGAATAAACGGACATTTGAAAAGTTCCGCAGCATGTGTTAGACGTGATCATTACACATGAGCCACTCAGGGGCTGCCTTTCCCTTTTGTGCGAGTAACAGTGGAAACTCGGTGATTGGCCCCGCTATTTTCTGATCGGGCATACACGCTGTGTAAATCCAGATTGTTGTGAGAAGAAACATCAAGTGATTCACGCAACAGAATGGCCCGGCCAGGCAAGGCTAACAATAGCCCCCCTGCGATGCGAACACCAACAGCGAAACAATACAGTACACTTCCACCACTACGTCAAATGCAAAATTATGATCTCCGAGAGTTCAGTGAAGTCACACAATAACGCTGCTATAACAATCTTGGTGTTTACACAGGCCTGCTAACAAAGTAGCACACTAGCTATTGTGTTAGCAGGCCCGTTTAAACATTGAGTTAACACGACTATGTTAGCCACAACAACAGTTTTGTTTGCATGCACGTTTAAGCAAAAGTTCTCCCTCAACAACGGCAAAAAGCACAATTAAACATAAAATCACGACTTACCGTGCTGAAGTTTTCAAACACGAGATGAGCAGCCGCTCCGTAAATTGGTGTAAGTAAAAAAAGTCGAACTCAGTCGAAGTGACCGTGAAAGTGCGGGTAAATGTGAAAGATGTATTGTAAGATGTGTGTTTTGGAAATGTGTATCAGTGAAGTGTGGAATAAATCCTCCAAAACAGATTTGCTCGTAAAAGTCGCTCTCTGTCAAAAGTAGTCTGTTGTCCTCAAGAGTTCAATCAGACTACACGAGCAACGAAAATAGTCGCATATAAAGAGGAGCATGAGGAGCTCGACCAATCAAAAAGCTGGATTTAATGACTTGCGCCTGAGGTTACAGTCAAAGCCAATTAGAACAGTACACCTTTCAATAGACTACGCCCACCCCCCACCCCCATAGTTAGAGTTGCTTTGTACAGCCGTCGTTTAACAAAATGGCGGCGACTCTACTTCATATAAAACGAAGGCTGTACTTGATATTTTCATTGATTAATGTTTGAGAAAAGCTTAAAAGTCCCACAGAAATTGTACCAACAAGTCCTGCAAAATTCAGTGGTAGAATATGTGCATAATATTCAGGTTTGTACGAACGAAATATAAGTATTGCATGTTCGTGAGGTCGAATGTGAACAAAGCTCAGTGATTCACTCAGATGTTATGCGGTCCCGATTTGAAGCCGTTGTCATGTTTTGGTCCGATTATGATACGATCTCCATACGGGTGTAAATATGGGCTGTTCCCGGGTACGATACAATCTTATAAATTGAGATAAGTTCTGCAACGTTCAGGTATCTTTTTAAAAATCAACTGTTGAATTATGGCTAAAAATCGATGGTGTTTGTTCGATCTATATGTAGATGTGAAACTCTTGTACGTGAAAATCACGTCTAGAAATAGACTACATCCTGACGTTGAAATTAGGTATAAATTTATACGTGTAAATAACGTCTACATTTATACAATGCTTCTATCTCTCAACGGTATCATAACTAATGTAAGATCCATTTAAATGTCAGTTATGTACATTACAGTTGTTAATTGCAGAACAAGTTATCAAAAAATGAAGTTGAGGGCGAAGTATAATTCACGTCTAGAAATAGACTATACCCGACGTTGAAATTAAGTATATATTTACACGTGTAAATGATGTTTTCATTTATACTATGGTGCGTATTTCTGCACCGTATCATAACTAATGTAATCTTGGATTAATACACCAATAATGTTCATTACAGTTCTTTCTTGCATAAAAACTTATTGAAATATGAAGTTGAGGGCGAAGAATAAATCACGTCTACACATAGACCAAATCCCGGCGTTGGAATAAGTATAAATTCAGACTAAGCGTGTAATATAGGTCTTTTGCTCAGTTAAGCAGCCGACGCCATGTTAAATGCCGGTTGTGGGCTGGTCCCTGCATAGCACCTCTAACTATGGAAGAGAGGGGGTTGGGCGGATCCTACCGAAATTTCTATTTCCAACGCTGTAACAACGTGACATAAAAAGACACAAAAAAAGACAAATTCTACCTGTCAGATAGTATTGTAGTGAGAATCTGGTCGTGCACATGAAATGTTAGCACATTTAGAGATATGAAACATATGAATATATATAGAGAGAGACAGAGAGAGAGAGAGTTGCATTGTCACGTGCTCATCAGGTGGGGGAGTGTGTAACATTGTCACGTGTTTATCATCGTAGTGTGGGATTGGCTTGAGTGCGTGCTTAAGAATTTACTGTCTTTAAAAGAGAACAGTAAAGCTGCACCGAGATATAAAAACCAAGAAATGACGGTGAGTACAAGTTCTCCTTGGTTGTTTAAGTGCTATCTAAATGAATGATGTGCTATTGATGTCATGTGTGCAAACAATATGTCTTTATTTTGCAGATGGCTTCACCTGTGAGACTCCCGGCTGGTGCTAGCGACAACGCCGACGTACGAGAATTACGCCTTAGATGCCAGGTTTTATCTGTAAGTAAATGAACAGCACAATCTATTTATGTGAATTCTACTTTATAGTTACACGAGTAAAGTAGTGGATTTACATTATTTCAATTGGACTGTGGTTGATGAGAAGTTTGTGTTTGGCAATTAAAAAATTGTACGGGATCTGATTTGACTGTTATTAAGTGTTGTGGTGTATTATCTAGTGGTGTGGAGATTGTTTTATAGGGAGAAGATTTATATATATGTAATAGTGGTAGGTATTCTGCTATTAAGGACATTATGAAGAAGAATGTTTTTGTGTGAACACAGTACAACAACATTTCTTTGTTATTAAGTAGGTAACAGCTGCATTGGTCACATTAGACATGTGAAGTACTGCAGAGAACAAATTCTTTAGATGGAGAAGTGAAATTAAATGAATTGCATGTTAATTGTGTGTGTGTTGTTGTTCTTGGGAGATTAAAGATAAGATTTATGGTTAAATGTATGTGTTGTTGTGGAGAATCTTGAAAACGTAAAAAATACAATTGGACTGTGTAGAATTCAGAAGACATTTTGCTTCTTATCTAAGAAGCTTCTTCATTTCATAATTGATAGTGTGGGGAGCAGAACTGTGTCTTACTGAAGAAATACACAGAAAACAACTGGGAAGTGTTAGGTCGTCAACTTTGGGTGTGTCCCCTTTTATTTTAGTTCACCAGGAAGGGTTAACAAAGCCCCTGTGATGTAACCACACCCAGGGTATTCATCCCAGCTGTGAGTTTGTATGTTGATGTCTGAAACTGGTCTTTAGGTTCAAATGAGCCTAATTTGTGTTTTTGTTGTTAATATGATCAATTATTCCTGTCTGTTTTTTGGTTCCAGTATGCAATACAGGACCAAACCCTGGATAGGGGTGCCCTGTTTCAGGAGAGCATGGCATGCCATACATACGTAATAAACACCACAACAAGGATGGCACGGCAAATGAAAGCTGCCACAGTACGCTCTGAATGTTTACAGAGAGAGCTAAACTCTTACAAAGAACAAGTTTCAAGGTTGAAGCAGGACAACCTCACGCTGACAAAACAGTTAGAGGCAGCCCAACTGAGTCTGGAGAACTTGTGTAAGTATTACATGGGTCATATGGGTAATTCTCATTGGTGAAAATTGTTGTTTTATTAATAAGTCAAAGTACTGTAATATGTAGTTAATATTAGCACCCATTGAAGTTGTTGCGTTAATATATGTTTACATGTGTGTAATTTGTTTTTGACTGTTGTGTGTCATAAAAATGCTTTTGTCTTTGTATGTGTTGTTGTGTATTTTGTCAGTATATTTCTAATAGGTGAAATGTTGTTTGAAATATTTTTAGATGGACCTGACAACCTATTCGACACTGTGGATAAGGCTGGTGAGCTTGCCAGCAATCAGTCAGAATTGGAAAGTAAGTATGTGGCAATGTTTGTAATTACCAATTTGTCACAAAGGATATAAGTTGGTAATGTGAAGCCAACAATAAGGTTATGTTTTTGTGTTCTTATTGTCATGTTGACATGTTGCAGATCCCATTGTTATGTAGAGTGACAGTGATATTGTAAAACATTATTAACATTGATTTGAATCATTTGTAGGTGTACCACCAGAAAAGGCAGCTGCAAGCCCTTCCACAGCAGCTGGGGAAGGAGTGGCTGTTGCCGTTGAAGTCATGGAGGAGGGGGGGAATATACAGAATGCATCTGACTTAGGAGTTGTGGAAGATTGAGAGGCATTGTAGTTTTATGTATATTTATGTGTGCATTTATGTTTCTTGTGTGTGCTTGTAATTTTGTATTATAGTTAATTAACTTATTAGAAGTGCAGTTTTTGTGTTTTGCTGTTACCTCCTGATTTTTTTAATGCTATTACCATTTTTGTAAATAAAGGCTTGTAATGAAAACTTTATAAAGGTTTACTTAAATGTGTTTTATGTGCGCACTGCAGCCATATTGTGTGGTCAAACAAAAACTGTTCTGATGGAACAGTTATGTGTCATACATCTGTGTTGCTAAACCATTTTCCATGTAAATTATTAGCACTTACACTCAACCATTAACTTTGGTGTTGATCATTAAAAGTAATCCTTATGTATTTGCTTTTGAAAGGATGCTTACTTCACAGATCAAGAATTGGGACTTAAATAATAACAGTCTTCTGCACTCATGATGTCCACATTGAGATGTACTGTATATATAGATATATCTAAGGGAAAAAGTAGAAAGCAATTTGAGCATAACTGCTTGTTTACTCCAGTAAACTGGATAATTCTTTTGCAGACATGCTGAATTTGACATACTTTTTGATAAAATGACCTCAAACCTTTCACAAAGTCAATAATACACCGAAGACAAATGTTGTTCCTTTAGTGCACCTCAGTGCTCAAAAAACTTCACAGTTTTTCCAGATCTTTTCACATACTCCCAGAGCCAGATTAAACATGAGGCACACTGAGTCTGAAATTTCAGGGCGTTTGGCTATGGGTAGCCACTCAGCCCGAGTAAAAGCTGCAATAACGCTGATGGGCTGCGCCCAATGTGAGAAGAATTATGCTTTAACCAGAAATCCTGCCAGTGCGTGTTGCTTTCACTTACACTTGCCACAGCCAGCCTTGTGAGTGCCTAGCCTATTGGATATCACTGTCACCTACACAGGACAGTCATTACCATTGTATTAATACTTTGTTTTTAATTTCACATTAATTTCCATATTGTATAAAGAACTGGAAAAAACTTGAGCCCCTGCCCCTGTATAATCATGTGTAGTCCTTGTTCTAGCTCCAAGGTGAATCTTCACTGTACATGTTCTCCTCGAAAGCAGTCACCTCACTCCCCTCAAGTTACTGTACACATGCACCAACAGCCTGCTTCAGGTTTGGATGGAGCTTCATGGTTGTCTTTTGGAGAAATAAGCAGTCAAGTTGTGTTTGAAATGTAATTTTTTTCAGGGGCAAAAGGAGCCTCTGCATTCTTGTCAAATGTGTAAATAGCATGTTTTTGTAGGTGCTAAAAAAAAGACTGTGTGTGTGTGTGTGTGAGTGTGTGTGTATATATCCTGCAGTACTCTGAGAAGAATAATAGGCATATTTCTGAGGTGAATTTTGAAGATTCATCTGAGAGTTAGGAGGGCTGATCATTCCTTTACCCTTTACATGTCTGTCTATGTCTGTTTTTGTGTGATAATGAAAGAAGCCCAACTCAAAAAGGCTCTGTTGATGTTTTTTTTGGTTGTTCTTCATTCATATTCAAACCACTATTTTATATCACTACTAATATGCCAAGACCATTTTATGGTATTTAGCTTTATTATTTCTATACATTTTGCAAGGAAAGAAACCAAGGCCTTCACTAAAATTTCCATAAACTTTAGGAAAGGACCTCTGGTTGTTTAAGGGGGTCATTACTGCAAAAACATATTCTTCCTAAATTTTGAAGGTCAAACCCTAGGTCTGTTAGGTTTAAATAGAAAAGGTATTAAAATATGTTAGGATTATAGCATATGACAAATGTGTGCCTCTCAGTGGCCATAACTACTTTGTCTGCTGGCTCTGCAGTAGATTGACGCTCCCCAGCGTATTTATATTTAATATATTTAACCTGATGTAGCTGCAAGACGGAGCCTCGTTGACTCTCTGTTTCAACTTATCTCCAAAGTGAGGACCTCAACCTATATACCAGTTTTCAAATTGTGTTGATAGGCCAAACAAAACCAGAGTTATGATAAATTATTTCCGTGATACTTTTTTTCTGCTTATTTCGATCACGTTCGGCGCTCAATCGCGCTGTATGAGACACGAAAACATAGCATGCAGACATTAGCGACAGGTCTTACAGGCGGAAAGGCTTGCCAAAAAAAAAAAAAACACACCACAACATCTCTCCTATTGGTGGAAAAGTTAACCACAACAACCGATCCAAAATTATATGGTGACTGATTGACAAGGGGCGGGCGCTTACGTTCTTCCTGCAACATGAGAAGGGAGGGAGGGACTGTCAGCAGGGATGCAGTCTGGGACACGTAGTTGCAAACCTAGCGACTTTGTTGTTAGATTCAATGACTTTTCAGACCCCCTAATGACTTTCTTTTAGAAAGAAAGGGACTTTCATCGACTTCTTCTGGAGTTTAGAGACTCTGACATGAAGCAGGCTTTCCTTACTGAGGAGTAAGCAACGCTGCTAAGGGTGCAGAGCCACACATGCGCTCCGAGCTCTGCATGGGAGACTGAAGCTGACAGAGCTGCAGCAGTTATCAGGTTTCACCCTCAGAGACCACCAGGGGTTCATGTTGAGGCATTTTCAGGTTTTTTTTCTTTTTTTGGCATAGACACTGTCAGCACAATCTGCAGTTACACTAACAAAAATGCTGCAAAAAACAAAGAATTATGGAAAAATTACACATGAAGTAACAGAGGAGGATGTACACAAGTTTTTTACATCATGTTTTACATCATGCATCATTTACAACATGTTTTTTGTATAGCAGAAATAAAAAGTGACATTTGTGAGACTATACAGTGTTTTGTAAATAATTTTACAAAGAACGCCTGGGCCATTGCCTGCATTTTGATGTAAATAGAGGTAAATTACTATGTTCTTTGTTAAAAATTTGCATATGTTTTGAAGTTTACAATTTTTATTTGAAGTTTAATTCTTAAAAACAGTTCATCACACATATTTGTGGTTTTCACAGTAAAACATTACTTTTTTGTTATGTTTTGTGTGTGAATTTGGGTCCATTGTGTAAATATAGTAGGTCAAAATGATAAAATAACTGTAAGTTGACACAGGTGAGGTTGTGCTGAAAAAAATGATACCAAGCAAGGCAAGGTAAAAAAATTTTTAAGAGGAAATATAAAGGTAAAATCTAAAGTAGTCAAAAACGGCCAATAGTGACTCCCAGACTCCATAGACAAGTCCCTTTGGCGCCACTCAGTGGCCAAAACTACTTTGTCTGCTGTAATGTATATTTGGGTCATCTTTGGCGCCCCCTAAAACGTGAAACGTGGGGTGCAGCGTCATGATTTTTACAACTTTGAATGGCCATGGAGTGTAAATTGGCCTGAGCAAATTTGGTGTCAGTGGGACAAAAGCCTTAGGAGGAATTAGCGAAATTCCAATGTGTGCAAATCAACAAAAAAAGCAAAATAGCCTTTTAACCGTACATTTAACACTTACATGCCCATTGACTTTTTCATAGATCTTATTGAGATACACGTGAATGTCAAATTTTTTGTCAATATGACAAAGCACAAAGGCGTGACACTCAACAACGTGTATTTTCACTTTTGGGGATAAGAAAAAATGGACTTTTTTCTCCTGCCATGGGGGGGCGCTCTTTTGGGGAGTAAAAGTTTCTTCACAGATATGTTGATGGCTGGACATTGCATCATCCTAGAAAACTTGGAGGCCAGTTTGGAAAAAATAAAAAGTTATAAAACTTTTAAGAATGTGGATTTTTGGGTTATATTTGGCGCCCCCTAGAACCCAAACCGTGGGTTGCAGCAAGATGATTTGTACAATTTTTAATGGCCATGGGGTGTAGATTGGCCTGAGCAAATTTAGTGCCGGTGGAAAGATAGCCTTCGAAGGAGTTAGCGAAAATTCCAATGTGTGCAGATCTGCAAAAAATGCGGAATAACCCTTTAACCGTACATTTGACAGATACGCCCGCATGACTTTTTTGTAGATCGTATTGAGATACATGTGTGTGTCAATTTTTGTGTCAATATGACAAAGCGTACAGGCGTAACAGTCAATGGTGTGAATTTTCACCTTTGGGGGCGCTATGGAGCCATTTTGCATTTTATTGTTTGGGCGACTTCAGAATATCGAATTTTTCACCAGGCCCGGTCGTCCTGCCAAATTTCATGAGTTTTCGCCTGTGGGAAGTGGGCCATTTTCCAGTTCAAAGGGGAGGAAAAAGAAGAAGAAGAAAGAAAGAAGAAAGAACTAGGGCCCCGTTGGGGCACTGGCGGGCCCGAGCCGCGTCGCGCCGCCCCCAGCGCGACCGCCTCCCTGATCCATTAGGTTTAAATAGAAAAAGCATTAAAATATGTTAGGATTATAGCATATGACAAATGTGTGCCTCTCAGTGGCCATAACTACTTTGTCTGCTGGCTCTGCAGTCGATTGACGCTCCCCAGCGTTCAAGTCACATGACAAATTTAACCGGATGTAGCTGCAAGACGGAGCCTCGTTGACTCTCCGTTTCAACTTATCTCCAAATTGAGGACCTTAAACTATATACCAGTTTTTAAATTGTGTTGATAGGCCAAATAAAACCAGAGTTATGATAAATTATGTCTGCGATACTTTTTTTCTGCTTATTTTGATCACATTCGGCGCTCGATCGCGCTGTATGAGACAGGAAAACATAGCATGCAGACATTAGCGACAGCTCTTACAGGCGGAAAAGGCTTGCCAAAAGAAAAAAAAAAACACACCACAACATCTCTCCTATTGGTGGAAAACTTCACCACAACAACCAATCCAAAATTATATGGTGACTGATTGACAAGGGGCGGGCGCTTACGTTCTTCCTGCAACATGAGAAGGGATGGAGGGACTCTCAGCAGGGATGCAGTCTGGGACACGTAGTTGCAAACCTAGCGACTTTGTTGTTAGATTCAATTACTTTTCAGACCCCCTAACGACTTTTTTTTTGAAAGAAAGGGACTTTTATCGACTTCTTCTGGAGTTTAGAGACTCTGACATGAAGCAGGCTTTCCTT